CAGCCAGATCCCTTAACCAAATACACCAAGCAAATCCCTCAACTAGATCATTCAAAAAATATCCCTTCACCAATCCACCAACTAAGTCCACAACTAAATCCCACAAGCAGTTCACTTCACCAGATCCATCAATCAAATCCCCCCACAATATCCCCTGACCAGATCCCCCAACCAGATCCCCCAACCAAAACCACCAACAAATTTCCTTAACTAGATCCCACAACCATATACGGACATATATTTATCTTATTATCAGCTATTATACATAATTTATTCAGTGATATTGAGAACTCGCTCAAGATAACCACCATGGAAATGCAGTGAAGAGAAAACTCACGTACAAGAGCAAGATTATGGCATCGTGAGATTTGTGAGTGATGAATAGACCATGGTTACCGCTGCTGATGAAGTATCCCATTCTCAAATCACCTCAATTATAGCACTTCCCTGATGGCAAAGCATATGTCGTGATATGCGGTCATACTGCCTGTTTTTGTTTGAGGTATTGCAAATTATACCTGCAGATGTCCAATTATACTATGTAACATGATTTTTGTTCCTGGGTAGTAAGTGTTATTTTCTAATTGCTTATGCCTCAAAAGTATAGAACATGGCTATTATTCCCCACAAACTTTGCTTTTGTGACCAGGACTTTATGTGAAGGAAAGACACAAATGCACACCACGTTTTCTCATTGAAACATAGGTACATTTAAAAACATCACTGTCCTGGTCACAAAAGCAAAGTTTTGAGGCATAAGCAATTAGGAAATAACACTTACTATCCAGGAACAAAAAATAAATAAATGTGTTACACAGTGTTATTAATGGAGTAGATTATTAACTTTGCTTTTGTGTCCTGGTTATAAAAGCAAAGTTTGTGGGGAATAATAGCCATGTTCTGTACTTTTGAGGCATAAGCAATTAGAAAATAACACTTACTACCCAGGAACAAAAAATATATTTTTGTTACACAGTATATAATTATCATTCAGCACAGCGGCAGGTCAAGAGCAGGTGTTTTTGAACTGGAACAATTAGTCAATCGAAAAAAATTGCAATCTACAACATATTCTGTGGTTAATTATTCAACGCTTTATAATTGGCGGCCACCCCTATATCCAGCTTCAGGAAGGCAGGAAACCCCCGACAAGCCATGATCATCATGAAGTGGCTGGTGATGTTGATGACATCACCAAGCCCTGCCCATTCACCTCTCTTCCAGCGGCACACATGGGAACAGAGTCGTCCGCACTTGCTTAAATAAATACACTTGAAGATATGATACTTCTTTCTAACTACTCAATTCGTCAAGTAAGCATACCCATAATCGGTAGAGCAATCGATTATTTCAATTATATATCCCAGCTCTCATTTGTTTTTATTGAATATGCATCTTGGCCGAGAAGTGTTAAAAATGGAACTCTCGTGACCAACAGGTACGGGGTTTGATGAGCACTACCCTGGAGAGGTATGGAAAGATCGACTTCCTGGTGAACAACGGCGGTGGGCAGTTCCCCAGTCCGGCTGAGGGCATCAGCACCAAGGGTTGGCACGCCGTCATCGAGACGAACCTCACCGGCACCTTCCTGTGCTGCCGCGAGGGTGAGCGTCGCCTCGGCCATCAGCCTCAGTTCTACAACTTCACGACAACTTCCTCTCTATATTGCGTTATTATACACAGTAGTCTCCAGCTCACCGTTTTTTTTATTGGTGGCAAGAAAAATGGAACTCATCCAATACCAAACGAGGAAATGACCCAAGATCAATTGGAGACAATCGTGATAACATGGACATTGCAATGAAAATATCGATGTTAATACAAGGGGCATTCGAGGGCAACATATTTGTCTAGCAGAGAAGATCAATGAGCACAATAGTATAGAAGAGGTATTTATATGGTCATTCCCACTACATTGAGGAATATATTTTCCAGAAGTTTATCACTTTGGTTTCACATGAAGTTTCATCACCAACATAAGGCAAGGTTTTAGTGAACATGGCTTTCACCTAAGTCCATCATTATCCATAATTTATGTGAATGTCAACGTGTTTACAGCACTTGAACACCATTTCCTTATATTGGCTTCTCTGCTAATTTGTCGTTTTGTGTGGTGCAGTGTACAACTTGTGGATGAAAGATCACGGTGGAGTCATCGTAAATATAATTGCTGACATGTGGAGAGGGTTTCCGGGAATGTCGTGAGTGCATTTCATTCCTTGCCGATGCAGTCGTGTGTACAGGATAAATTTATTCCCACCAGTTTTAACGTTTTTTGTAACTTTCTAAAGTAATGATGCTATCTAGCCAGTAAATCTTCACCAAGTCTCATGACACTTTCAGGAGGGTGCTGCATTACCATGCTTGACCAATTCCCCGTTTCAAGGAGTGTTTTGTATTTGGGAGGAAACTTTAGTACCTGGATAAAACCCAATAGAATAACAATTAACGTGCACCACCCTCGTGCTGCCAGGCACACGGGCGCGGCACGAGCAGGGGTTGACAACCTCACAAAGAGCCTGGCCATCGAGTGGGCGAGCAGCGGCGTCCGCATCAATGCTGTTGCACCGGTACGATCACAGCCTGTTGTCATATTCTCGTGGTTCCAGCCAGCATGGTGCAGCAGTTAGAGCGGATTTTAAAAAAGTGTGTGGTTCAAATCCTATGGATGGAGGCTTCTCCATACCAGGTTCGTCATGGGGTTTATTTGACTATATTTGACCATGGTCGTTGAAGGAGGGGAAGACAGACGTTCTGATATCACTTGCCACATATATTCACTGAGAATAAAGCTCAGGTCGCCAGGTTCTTTTCCCAGTGCACCAACCACTATGCCATTGCTGCACATTTTATCATTCCATCTCGGAAAGCAGCACCGTCTCTCAACATTCTATGTCAGGACATTCGTGCAATGGAGAGTTTAGCCAAATCCATTTAGTATTGGAATACCAATTTGTAATGTCAGCAGTGTTTGTTCTGTGGATAAACGTTCCCTTGCTATAGGAATGTGATTTCTTGGTATAGAGAAGCCTACGTAACTTTACCGAAAGAACCAGAGTAAGGAATGTGATTCTTTAACCACTGGTTTGGGAGTGCAAATGGGAGATTAGCCTACCCCATGGTAATTTTATTTTAAAACATAATTTCTTGGCCTGCCCTTCAAGCAGTATTTTATAGAAATGTTAAATTCGATGTATTATTTACATTTCCAGTAAAGTGATTGTTGTCTATTTCTCTGGCAGGGAACAATATTTTCCCAAACTGCATCTGAAAATTATAAGCATTTGTCAAAATCTCCATTTGATATGATGAAGCCAAGGATCCCTGCCAAGAGGCTTGGTTTGCCGGAGGAGGTATGTCACTAAATGAACTAATTGACAAACACGCACCTTTCAGGTTAAGTTACTTTGCTTTTAACGAAGCATATTTGAATACTGTAATGCACGTATCCAACAAGTATATCTGCTTGTAGAAGCAGGCCACCTGTACTAACTCCCAACGCATGTTCTTATTTCCTGCTTATACATTTTTGAAAAAGTATATAAAACAATTGAAAAAAACTCCGTTTTCAGAGTAGTCACAATTTGTATTCTTGGCCAGGTGTCGCCAGTCGTTTGCTTCCTGTTGTCACCTGCTGCATCCTTCATCACTGGGGAGACGGTGAAGGTGGATGCAGCACAGAGCCTATACCAGTCTCCGTGGGATATTCCAGGTGTGTGAAGGTGATATCAAACACACGCAGCTGCACAAGCTGTGGAGCAGCAAATTGCAATTTTATGTAATGAATGCTTTAACATCGCTATTTTGCTTTACATATATTTTAACCAATATTACCTGGCTGGAAATGTTATGTACATTTTATTTTAAATAAATATAGACTAAACTAAGAGGGGCTACAGAAACAAGCAATGCAACGCTTCAATGGCAATCAAGCTACCCATACACCATAAGGCAATGTTTAATAAGTCTGATGATGCTCCAGCACCACTTACAGCAAAGTTTATTTTGCCGACTAGAAATACCTTTTCATTGACACTTATAAAACTGGACTAATTCATTTTAAGCTTTTCTTAAAGTGCAGGGTAGGCAATATAACTGAAAAATCAAGTCACTGGTGACAGAATAAAGCACTCGCCAACAAGTCACAAACCACCATCGCAAAGCAGTAATAATCAGCAAATGCAGGCCACTGATCTTGTCCACTGCAAAACCATTGTAATGTCATATTTTTTATCCCACTTACAGATCACGAGAAGATGCCCGCACCAAAAATAGATGTGTCTGCAAAGGATTCCGAGGGGCATGCGAAAGTGCCCCCATCCAAACTGTAATATTGATCTTGGGAATTGTGTGGTTAAAAGTGTCAGGCCTTGTTTTTGCTGAAGTGGACGCTATTGTGTCAATTTAGATAAAATCAGCACTGCTGTAAACCTGGCCACGCACCTGGTGCCAGATACAAGCTTAAAATACCTGCTATTTAGAATCAAAATAATAAAGCACATGGTGCCAGATACAAGCTTAAATAACTGCTAATTCGAATTTAAAATAAAGCTCATTTAAAAACACAAGTATATAAGTGTAGGTGAGAAAATGCATTATGCAGTATAGGATACGTATGCATTTACAATGCATTATGTACACATTTCAAAGAAAATTTAGTGGTTAACCTGTGAAGTTTGCAATGAACCGAGTGGATGTGTGGTACAAGTCGTCATATTATACAAGACATTGTGATGTTCGTAATTTGTTATATCATTAAACACGTATATATTCATCACGAGCAATAGTTACATCTGATTGAATTTAACCACATTATGCAACAGGGTTACATGAGTTCACGGAAAGACATGCATACACCACGCTGAAAAATTGTAATGCTCAATTATTCTGCAAGGCTATCAAAACGTGTACAGTATACGCAAAATCGTGTTCTGATAAGAATGCAATTGTTTTTAAACAAAATCAAATAGCGGCAAAATAAGCATTATGACAGAAGCACATGTGACTTGGATGTTTAATGCAATTCTCAAAGAACATACATTAACAATGGTCAAATTGACTGGGACTGTTGTTTTACAATAAATGTAACAATCACTCTTGTTTTGCTTCCTGTTACACAATGTTATTCACAATGGGCACATTGCACCACAACAAATATAATAAAAGTATGGTCTACAGGAGCGTTCTTCAACTATATCTTCGAGCGGGCCACAAAACAACTAGCATGTGCTGGCAGGCCACATGCAAATCTTATCAGTGTCACCTATACATAAATTACGATGTCACTTGGCATTGACATAATACCCATACATCAGCAATGATGTTTCTCTTGTTAGATGAAGGCCTACCCTTACACCCCCCAGACATCGCTGTCTCTTGGTCATGCAATGCAACAATCCATCTAAATCCTGAACACGAGACGATCTCATCACTCTATTTCCACGGTGGTCATGCGCTGGGGGTGTTTTCACTCCTTTGGCTGCCACTCCATCGCTACGGCCAACCACTGGCCATTAACCCTTATTGCGACATATTATGCCCAAGTCCACTTACTTTTCTTAAGTCAATATGTAGTCTTCAACTTGCAGTCTCTCACCAATCCACGTGTTCTTTTTTTCTGTTTCTCAGTTTAATTCCCAGCATGCTTCTCAAGCTTCTTTGTGTACTTTCAGCTTTTGTTAAATTGTCTTTCGTCAGTGACCAAGTTTCTGATGTATCCTGTACTAGGGATGACTGTACCTCTGGTCTCCAGATCGATCATCTCCATCTAGTTTATCTTGCAGTCATCTCACTCAACTTATTTTTTGTCTACAGTTCTCATCTCCATCTCCTGTTTATTATTTAGCTATTATTTCACCAATTTGTGTATCCGTCTCAGCAGGCCAGAGCTCAGTGGGCCACTCCAAGAGCAATGTAGCCCGCAGATCGGCAGTTGAAGAACACTGGTCGAGTGCACCCATGAATTGCCACTATTTTAAAATAAAAATACTAGCCACTGTCAAGTGCAATGTTTTGTCCAATCGCAATTGAAAAAAATGCTATTATACACACAATTATACACAATAGATCTAAGCAATATGTTTTTGTTAATACTTTGAGCACATTAATCCAGAAACGTGTTGTCATTAATTTGTTCAGAAGCTGCATTCAAGTGAAAGGCAAGTCCAGTGATCGTGACCATTTCCACTGCTAACCTTGCAGTTGCCGATAGTGTCATGATAAAATACGGCGAGTCACAACAGAGAAAAATAAGAGATAAACAGCCTATTCTGGACTATGATGAGCAGCAGTCAACTAGCGCGGGGAACTTAGTGCCTTAATGCCGCTTGCGAAGCAGCTTGGAGAGGAAGCCTGAGCTCTGGCCGCGAGTCTGAGCACTGCCTCCCGAGGCGCGCCCTTCCCGGCCGTGCTGCCCATCCGTGTCAGAGCGATCCAGTTCTGTCTGGTCCAGTAGCTCAAACCCGTCATTTATCTCCTCCGCCTCTTCGTCCGTGTCCGCATAAAAGCTCTCTGCATCAGCGGCAGTCATGGGCACGCGCTCCGCAGCCACAGCAACTGCTGCCCGAGTGTGGTGCCGCCGGTTTCCCTTCTCAGCTCTGAGAGCGGCGGTTTGCCGAGACCTGCCTGCCGATGCCGCCTGGTTTTGGGATGTTGCCAAGCGGGAGTTGGATGAGGTTGAGTCGGATGATGTAAGTGCCGACAGGGTGTTCCTCACCATAGCCGTGAAGGCCGCATTTACAATTTCGTTCGCTAGGTTCCCGCTATTCCCACCCATAAACATTGAACTGTGCTGCTCCTCCTCACAGTCTGCCATGCTTGAACCATCGTCGGCAGGCAGGAAGACGTCCTCGGGCATCCTGTCTCCCAAAAAGTCATCGGGAGAGGGCAACCCACTCATGGACATCTCACTATTGATAGCGTCGGTGTCCGAGTCATAGAAGTCTTCGTTGTCGGCTGGGAGGCTTTGGCGTAGGGAGTTAGGGCGTGGACGACTGGGCCGTGTCTCCAGGATGCTGGGAATTCCCAAGGTGTCATCATCGTCGCTGTCCAGGCCCACGCCACCTCGCTCTGACGGGAAGGCGGCCAGGTCACGCGCAAACGTGTCTTCCAGGTCACTGTGCTGGCTGTGATGCTCCATGTCTAGAAACACCAAAATTTGGGCATGCCTTCCTTATTACATTCGTAGTTTGTCTTCTATTACATTGGTAAATGTTCTGGCCGTGACAGAAAGTTAGAAGGTTTGTTTGATCATGTGCAAAGCCCAAGCAGCAATATTTAATGTTGTTACTTATTTGATGATTATCAGTAATATTTTGTACACCAATATATAGTATGACAATTTTTTATAGAATTTTTAAATACTTTTTGTATATTAAGCTCTTTTAAATTTGTAGGCATAACATTATACATACCATCATCTCACCATCCGCCAAAAGTGGAAATGTAAGTGTGAATATAAAATTAAACACAAAAGCTATGCACCATCCGAGCCGTCTGTAAGCTGCGGCGTTCCTCCCCTCATCAGACCCAGTCCTACGGCCTCGCGGTATGATGCCTCGTCATCCGATGGCTCAGACTCAGACAGTGCCAGCGCCTCTTCCGCTGTGGCAGGGTCCAGCTATGCTCCAGGTAGGGGTGGTACAGGAAATGCAGCACAGTAGTTAGATAAAAGTTGGTTTCACACTTGAATGTAGTTTCAAACTCGTTTAACATTTTTCGGTTATTATTTGTATTATATTAAATGTGATTTTTATATTTCAAACAGCTAAATATCAAGTGGTGTAATTACCTTTGGGTAAAAAGCAGCCAATTCATCTTCACTGTCAGTTTCCACCTCATCTTCATCCAATGTTCCTTTTTCATCTTCTCCTTTTATTTTAAAACATAAGAGAATACAAAAATTGCAACAATAAGTATGTAACAAAAAAGTTCCTATTGCTCCAAAGAATTCTGCGATGATTGGCATCTTATGATAGTGATTCAAGACTCCCTACCAGCAGACAGTGCTTTATATTAACAAGCAGCAACAAAAATATATGTAAACACGGAGCAGACGGTAATCATGCCAGCTCACTTCTTCCCCCTGCAGATCTACGAGCGATTAGCGCCTGTCGGCTGTAATCCAGCATGTGAAGAAGTCCATCAAACAGGTGGCGTATCTTGTGTCCTATGCCGTAGTATGAAGCCAATGGCCAGAGAAGGGCTGCCAGTACTATGCGAACAGCAAAAAAGGAACATTTGATTACAATTATCTTGCAGATGATCACAAAATATAGTTACGTTGAACAGTGACATCGGTGTGTTCGTTATGGGAAACCATTTACAATTGAGCAAGGATGCTAAGTAAAAAATATTAATGGTAATATATTATTTAATGGCCTTTTGTGGTTGGTACTAGCATACTTACAGATGAGGTAGCAGACTACAATACCAGGCACACGGCGTCCAACATCAGCCAGCACAGCACAGCAGATGCAAACTATCAGGCAGAACTGTGTCAGAAAACAAAGACAGACGAAACAATCAGCATCAACTCAATCAGTTTACTATGCCAGTAGTGCGATGGGGAAAATGTGTGCTTACCTTTCCACGATTTTCTCTTTTAAAAGCGAGTATATTGTGCAGGTAGGTAAGGAGGGAGATCCAAGTCTCAGCCAGCCGACGGCACAGCTCCGGTACACTCAGCAGATCAGGGTGAACTACTGTCCAGCTGTGCGCATACAAGTGAACACACACACATGCACACATCCATCCACTCACTAAAAACTTTAACCCCTATAAGCTGGGTCACATGAGTTCTCACATCACAGGCAGTTTACCATAAGACAGGAGGCCCAACATATCACACTTTATGGTAGCTAATGGTATAAGCACAAGACTTTTATGAAAACATAAGCACCGTATGATAAAAATGTATAGCGTAAAATAATCATGAGTGCACCATCTTAAATAACTTTACATAGCAAAATAAACGTCATGCAACAGCTACAAAATATCATTGTGATGACAAATTCTGAACATCAAATTCAACAACGGTCATGTTCAAACATGTTTTTTTTCCTGCCGTGGCAGTGCTATAGTAACCATTTTTCCCACAGGTAGCAAATGCCCCCTTCTCCACCCCCAACCTCTGCGTCAGCAATGCCCGGGGCCACAATGCAACCTGATCCACATAGCACTTAGGATTCTGGAAAGCTTGCTATCAAGAGTTAAACATGAAAATATGCTCGTTATACAAATACTGCGCTTTACAAAACTGATCTCACGGGATTCTTTGAACGAAGACCTGAAACATGACCGTTTTAGCGAGCACGTGCTTAACAAATCTCTTCAACTTGCCCAGTAATGGGAGCGTTTCTTTAAATAAGTTCTGAGTATACTTTACAATATGGCAGCTAGCCAGGGTGAGAACTTGAACAACACCTGATCACATCCTCGTCTAGGCTAAAAATGACAAACAGCACAACTTAAACTGGAAGCTAATAAATCTAAAACATTAATAAGTAGTGACTATACAATTCTAAGACCTCAATTATTTTTTCTTAAAATTAAAAGTAGAGTATTTGTGACTGACACCATAATTTAAACTTACAATGTGTATTTTGACAGCATTTCTTCTTGCGGTGTTTTATTAGTTTATATTAAGTTAAGCAAGAGGTAGTTCTAAATGTGAAGTTTGCATAATTAAATACCTTTCACTTGGTGAGTCATCTCTGTGTCTCCCTGAAAAAAAAGAACATGATAATATAACAAGGGAAAACAAATACGATGTGTGATATACAGGATATTTTTCATGTGACTTAACGTTACCGAGTACGTACCAAAGATGCTGGGTATTTTAAGCCACTTTCTATATTTCCATGACTCTATAGATATCAGCAGCAGCAGAAATGACGCCAGTACAAAGTATGGCCTGAATGTGAGCGTCATCTTGGATATACCCCTGGAAAATATAGAAACATCAAACATTGTGTTAATGCATAATGTCAATAACATGCACTGTCTGTGCACAGTAATTGGTCGCATTCATTTTATTCCTCCATGCAGTGACACACCCGTTAAGTGGGACTTAAATATAAATAGTTACAAACTAAATATAAATAGTTACAAACGAAAATTATAATTTACATTTGAGTGGTTAGGGGTTATTTGACCATCACTCCATGCAGGTTGAAGTGGGGGGAGAAGGTTGACCCAGGGCCCAGCTCAGATATCACTTGACACTGATGTTTGCCATCGCCTACAATGGAATTCACGTAGCAGGGTTCAGAGCACAGCACAGAATAATATTTTAAAGTTCACGGATTCAAAAAGTTCACGTGAGTCATTGTATTAAACCGTATATATATAAAAAGACACGTTACACTGTGCCGTCACGCCACTTCACGGTTAACTATTGACTTTCGAGAGCACCACTACAATGTACAGCCCAGGCAGGTACTTGTTCCATTGACCATACTTCTGCGCTGCCCGAGCACGTCTGAGATTCCAGCTGTGCTGCCAATGGGTTCCCAACACCGACATAAGTGGGGGTGGTTCATCAGCTCGAAGGACCGGTCAAAGAAAATGAGACCTATCAAAGTGTCAAGTGGAACCGTGTCCTGGTTTATCGCATATCCACAGGAACTGAAGCCCAACTAGAATGCTGCGTTTCATCATCGGCCACGATCAATCCACTGCTGGACTAAGGTTTATTACTTTCGTACAACATTAAATAGTTTTTTTATGCCTAGCATAACGTTATGCGGATGGCCGAATACAACACCATATATGGTCATTTGAAGTACTGTATATTGGTAGATTAAAAATATATTATTCAACCGGCCACTATGTGTGCGTTTGGAACTTTAAATGATTCATAGTAGTCTACTGTACATAATTTAATGTTATCATCACAAACCACACCGCCGCAATGACAGCGGTGTTGGTGTTTACCTGCAAAACCATCACAAACCACACCGCCGCAATGACAGCGGTGTTGGTGTTTACCTGCAAAACCACTCCACCGCAATCGCTAAGCGTGTAGTAGATACCTGTCCAACCCATACGGTGTACTCCCCATTCTTGTACAGGGAAATTGAGTGTTCAGGTTCATACGACGCAAAGCCGTTTCAATACGGGCAACAACATTTATGTTTGTCTATTTGTTTGTGTTTCTCCCTTGTGATGGGACCAATGAGGTCTAAATTTGTCCGTAATAAGGCAGGGCACTGATAAAGGGGTTGACAGGTTTGGTATTAATCAATGCGTGGGAGAAAACCTGTACCATAACGTCGCAACGCATTTATTTTATATCTAAAAAAAACAATACTACGGGGAGGTGGACGTCCCGATCGTGTCGCATTACATCATTATTCCACGTCGACAACCTCAATGTTGTTGGCCGTGCCGACACTGGCGGCACACGAAACAACCATCGTTGCTGTACAGTACACACACAAGCGCGTTGTAAAATAACCGGCTCGCGGACATCAACGGCAACCCACACTCCCCGACTCGAATACGTTCACAAGTGAAGCAAACACAACGCAACACATTGTCGTTGTCGTCCCTCACTCCAACTCGGCTTTAACCTCCACCGCCCTTAAGACAGCGGTGAGGCGAGGTGGTGTTGGGTGGTTGGGGGGGGGGTGGCGTCAGGCCTAGCGCAGGCGGTCGCGGACTCACCGCGACCAAAAGCGGCAGGGCGCTCAGGAAAGCCCTCCTGACATTAAAAAAAAACATAGTCGCGTGGTGGTGGCGAGTTTGGGGAGGCCGACGGCGGGACCCACCAGAAGAGGCCGTGCAGGGCGAAGAGCAGCAGGGCGCTGTGTCGTGGCCTGTGCCACAGCAGCACGCTCTGCGCGTACAGCACCGCGCGCTCGCGTGGGCCCAGCGCGCCCAGCAGAGCCGCCTCCAGCGCCGACACGGCGGCGGGGCCCGCGGCGTCCGCTTGCTCGCTCGCCATGACGATCCTCCCCTTCTTCTGCCCTCCTCCTCCTTTCTCTCCTCGTCCTCCTGCTTCTCTCCACTCCTGACCTCCCTCCTACTCCCCTCTCCTTCTTCCTCCCAGGTCTCCTACTCCCTGCTGTCCACGCCTCGGCCCTCCTCTCCCTCTCTCTCTCCGTCTCCGCCCTCCTACTTCGCCGCCTCTCTCCTTCTCTGCCACCTCCCCTGTTGTTATTCTCCCCCACCCCTCACCGGGTCTGCTCCACCTCCGCCGTTCAAGTTGTCCGCCCGACTCCGGTATTCTCGGGTTCCTCCTCTCTTGTCCGCCCGCTCGGCCCCCCTCGCCCCCCGCTACATTCCGCGGTCCCCTCCACCACCACCACCCAAGGACAGACGACCCAGCTTCCTACCCCGTATTGCTACTTCTTGTCCGGTCGATTAGGCCTATCGACGACGACGACACGGTTTCGATCACTTACTGTGTCCAATCGCGGTTCGATTGCTCGTTCGCAACGATCGAATAACGCGGACGTTTAGTTTGCGGATGCGGTTACCGCACGCCCGGGGATTCGCCTCTGCGCCCACGTGTGCCGCTGGACGGGAGGTGACGGGTCGGCCGCGCCCCACCCCCCTCCTGGGCGTGGCTTTGCGGCTTGCAGGGGGTTTCCGGCCTTCAACAACAGACCACATGTGAATGCGCCCGACCGTTCGTGCTCGTGACTCAAGTGTCGTCGATTTTAATTTTCAGTCGGTTAATCAACTTGATCGACGTAACCAACCCCCAGCTCTATAAAATAGTAATCGGAGATACGATCGAACGTTGTGTTTATTATCATGGGGGGGGAGGGGGGGTGTGTGCAGGAACATTTAAAATATATAATTGACGTCACTGGACATCAAACCCATACATTTAACAGAGTACCATCTAACATGGAATTTGGCCAAACTTCCCGATGCAAGCTCCCTCCTTAAAAAAAAGTCTGGATTTCCAGGATCAATTAATTACAAAAGAAAATGACGGTACATAGGGCAATGTCTTCTGTAAGTGCTAAATCCACCCTGTTATCCAATCATTTGCACAAATAGGAAGAAACAACACGTAAATGGTGGCAAGTTCACCCTGATAGGTGAGCCTTGTCTTGAGAAATTAGCCTTGGAATGCTCAAGACCTTAACCTTGAGGCTGGCTTGACATGTTCTCTGGTCTCAAACCTTAACCTTACGAGTGTGGCCTCAGTCCATAGACTCGGCGGCTTAAGAGGCACTCGCCTCGACTTGGCCCTTGCCTTATGGGTCCCTGCCCTTGAATCCAATACTTAAAAAGGTATAATCTAGAAGTTGTCTTCTGGCTGCGTTAAATTAATTCTATTCTTAGTCTTCGCGAGACTAAGACGAGTGGCGCAGAAGCTGCGGCAAATTGACCGTATTCATGATTTTGGAGTAATTTTGTGCGTGATGTAAATAGAACATGCCCCTGGTGGCCCCCACAACATCACAGACGTTTGTCTATACTTTTCAAGTACAGTGCAGTTTTGTATTGCACACATGTCAATGCATAAAGTCCGAAATTGTGCATGGTGAACACTTAATATTATACAAGCCAAACTTGATTTGAAGCTTTTGTGCCTGCAGGAATTACTTTTTGGTACTTTCGGTAAAGTCACGTAGAAAGAAAACACATTTAATAAGTCTCTGTGATGTCTCTCTGCTTGTGTGTTTGTCTCTGTCAAATGTAGCAATCTTTGGAAGAACGTAATCAACCAGGTAAGGTGCTGACTGTGTTGGATTGCATTGTATTTCTACGTTCACGAGGTTTCTTTTCTGATGACGATTGTATTGCAATCGAAACGTCGTATTCTGTTAATTAATTTTCTTTCTACGTGACTTTACCGAAAGAACCAAAGAGTAATTATACAAGCCATTTTTAAAAAATCTATCGGGCAAAATCTGTTTAATCCTGATCGATATAAAAAAAAAACCATTAATGGAATTGACCAGATACGCTAATGCAGGGCCCTCAAAAGCGCTTTGAGACTCACTTCCCTCGATGAATCTAAATCATTACTGGAGTATTATTTAAATTGTTGATTAATTCACAATTCACCATTGGATCCTCCTTTGCCAGTAGCAAAATATGATAATTGTTTTTTTACCCTTTTATCTGGCAACAAAACTGACACCTTTTGGCGTCATCTGGTCCAACACCATGTGAGACGAGGCTCTAAGGAAAGCTGTCTCGGGTGTGGACCAATCAATTTCAAGGACAGTGCATACATTAAAAGAGTTGTTTTTTGTTTGCATTCCGACCGCAGGTATTGTGGTCAATGCAAACATGACTCCTTGTAAAAAAGGTGTCAGTTTTGTTGCCAGATAAAAGGGTAAATAAACAATTATAATTTCACAATTCCTTAACAAAAGTTCCATTGTCTGCCTTTTTGAATGGGAAATTATGCAACGTTTAAAATTTAGTGCTTTTAAAATGTAAAGTGATGGGGTGACTTTTTACAAATGCTACATTTATAGTTTTAACAACACCAAAACGATGGCTGAAAATTCATTACCACCATTATACATTAACACGGAACGCCTCATATATGGAAAATATTTAACCTCTTTCAGATTACTGAAACAGTTTTTTCTGATTGTGTTTTGAACAATTACTAAAACGGGAAAAGTGTCGAAAATATAAAAGTAAAAAAAGTCACACTCATGCAACCCAAAACATCTTCAGAACTTTGTAAACTTTATTGTAATGTTTTAAAAGAGCTTAAAAAAAACATTTGATAAATTAGTATACATAGGCAATGTACAGGTAAAATATTCACAGGTCACTCGGCGGGGATATGATGAATTCAAGTCTGTTTTGGAAATATGCGTGTAGCAGTGACCATCTTGAGTACGAGTTTGTGCTTGAAAGTAAAGAGACACGTGAAAATATACTGGCAAGTGATAACAAGTTAGGCAAATTATACGAATTCCCTTAAGCGGTAAATCATGAGAGTATGATTTTGCATAGACAACAAACTATGTTTTTTATGATTGTGTTTTATTTGAGCATAACTGCCAAAACATAATATATTACTTCCCAAAGTGTCTGCCATACTGTCTATAAAACACATTTGTCCACAGGTAGTGAATCAAGTAATTCAACTTAACATGCCTGAGGGTTTCAATTAAACATTTTGGTCATTACCCACACTCACTGCACACCGGATGAGGAATGTGCACATTGTGGTCAGTAATTAAAACAGAGCAGCGTAATATACAGTAAAAAAAAAACCTAAATATGATTTTCTTAAAATTATTTGAAGGAATTAAAAAGCAACCATTTGTAATGATCTCTCTACCATCGAAATTGTTTACATTAACACTGCTTGTTTTAAAAACCCGATGCTAACTTGAGTAAAAGCCGGGTCATGTATAAAAAAGTTTAAAAAAGGACATATTTCTGGCTGGAAAAAAAAATTAAGATAGATATCTAAAAGTTGTGCAAATCTTAACAGCATAAAAATAACACTATATATGCAGGGTTAGCACTCACTGACAGTTTTGGGAAACTTGCGCTACAGGCAGTGATAGATACTGTAAAAAGGCAATTCAAACCTTTTAATTCAAGTTAACATGTTAAACTGGGTAAGCCGCTGTAAGTTGTGTATTGCCTGTCGGAGCAGAATAACCCATGCATTTACATAAAAGACCACATAGGAATCTCAGTGTTGCCTGTACCTGTTGTAACAACCCAACAATCACTTGGCATGTGTGCTAGGGTCAATCCGTGCCTGGTGTGATGCGGACAGCAAAGAGTAAAAAAAAACGTCAGAGCACAGCCTTGGAGAGGATGTGAGTATGACACTGCATTCCAAGTACCCCCGGCCCCCTGGGATCTCTAGGATGTTTCTGAACTTCCAATCGCCCTATGGGAAACGTTCTTTCCACACACTCGGCAGGCCTCATCTTGTCCTGACGATGGGGCCTGTGCTGCTGCGGCTGCTGAGAGAGTGGCGGCTGTAGCGCTTGTGCACGATGCTGTTGATGTATGCCTTCATGAGCTTGGCGACCTCCAACACCTGTGGTGAGACAAACATCAAACGTGGAGCAGGCTCAGTGGCGACGTGACAGGAGCATCGCTAAAGTGTGACCAATTGATTGCCCGCGGTGGTTCTTTGCATATCAATGCGCTATTTAAAAACTACCACGGGCTGTGAAGCAGTTGTATAAATAATAATTAACAATCTATTTTTATGTTCCAAGGAGTCAATAAGAGTCTTGTGGATGGTGGAATTTGTTGGTGTTGTGTCTACACAGGTGTATGTACATTTGAGAGACACGAAAAACTTTTGGTGTTTTTTTTAGATGACAAGTTTAGGCACACATAGCTATATGATATATACATAAAACCCTGAACATTATTTTATCCAGCAGATTAATTCAAGGAAAGGCCATTCTTAATACATTTGGCTGGGAAGGATATTTTATTGACTTGTATTGTAGTTAAACTATGGTTGATCTCGTTAGCGATCGGAGCTAATTATTTTACATGTGTCTGTGATTTCTGCCGCACGCTTTTAGCGTTTGACAAATGAACTGCGCCGCAGAGGTGCTGCACCGACGATGGACAGATCCCCCGCTCTATGGCCAAGCGCTCACTCACCTGGATGGTCTCGAAGAGCATCTCACGGCCCTCCAGCACAATCCGGTAAGAGCTGGACTGTGGGGCCCCGAACGACAGGATCTGCTCGTAGGTGAAGGACTCCAGGGGCCGTGGCTCGCCCCTCTTGTGCACCGCCACGCCGTCCTTGCCCACGGCCAGCCACAGCTCCTTGGGGAATCCGCCCTCCTTGCTCTGCAACAAAGTGGGGGAGGGGGGAGGGGGGGGGGCGTGGAAACGCGCAGAAAAACCTGTAGATGATGCGGCTCAACCGGGTTTAAATTGCGTGTGTCTGGAAAAGGGTACCGGCAACAATTTTATTTTCAAAGAATAAAATCGTCATTTGCAACATTTTACAACGCTTTTCCAATTTCACTTGCTATTGCTGTAATTGTGTACAGTAGTTACATGTATACAATTTTATCAAAAAGGACACGTATAAATGAAAATGTTTCAACAAAAAATGGTGACCAGCCTAATTTTGTGCTTACTAAAATAAAATACAGTTTAATTATCAGCATCTATTGAAGCTTGGAATGGTGGCAAAGTGGTATGCACACTGTGCAGAAAACCGAGTTATTCGAGTTAGATTTCTGGCCATGGTTCGACGTCAGTATTGAGTGAAATCTAAACTTGGTCCTGGCCTCTCTTTTACCAACCCACACCAACTAGCTTGTGAAGTATGGTCAAACAACCACAACGACTGATGTGACATGGGGAGAATTTAATCGAAAAGTGGATTTACAAATGGCTGTTTACGATGACTAATTATCAATTAAGATCACAGTACATTTATCGTATATTAACTAGTTCTAAATTATTCCATAGGGAGCAGACCTGCATATGGAAATGAGTGGCGAGTCTCACCTCCACATCAAACAGGGTGGAGCCGTACCCCGCCCACTCTTGGACGATGGCCATGTAGCGTGCCATAGCTTGCTCCTGCCCCAGGCCTCGCAGCTGCTGCCACTTGTCGAGGATTCCGGCACGGGCCGCCTGGATCTCCTCCTTCACCCACAGCTCCAGCAGTTGGTCCTGCCCTCCTCCAGCGCCCGGCGTGGCGTGCGATGCCCCGCCGCTGCCTGGCGACCCGCTCCCAGAACCGTCGCGCTCTTTGTCTGCCTCCACCTCGAACGACGGCGCCTTCTGCCTGCGCAGCGTCCGCCGCAGTGTGCCCTCCAGGAAGCCCGTGAGCCGCCGCTCGCCCGCTCCGCTCGAGGGCGACGCGGGGCTGCCCGGGCTGCTTGCGCCAGTGGCCAGCGGACTCGCTCCCATGCCGGCGGGCGTTTTGGTGGCAGCGGTGATACGCGAGCGAAGCCGGCCTACCGGGTAGACGCTGTCGAGTCCCGGCGGTTGGGGGAAGCTCGCTTGATTGCTGTTGTCACCGAGAATGTACTGGAGGCGCAGGGCAGCCAGCTGCTGCAAGGTCTCTTCGGGTGCCGGGAAGTGTCCTCGCACGAGACCTTCGTGCGCCTGAAAGTGGAAGGGAGTGTTTGCACAGTCACACATAGTCACTTTAAGATGTTTTCTTGTTCATGTTTTTGTTTTTTGTTTGTTGCGGTTGCACCCGATTCAAGAGCCGAATGGCTCACAGGGCTATACCAAATAAAGGGAACTATGAACTATCACGGGAATCACATAACTGCGTAGCTGATTGCTCGTTTGTTGACCACCACCCTTGGTTAAGATGCATTGTTTCAGTTGTAATTGCGGTATATTGAACACCTGTGTTAATGAGTATGGCTGTGCAATGATTTACAAGAGTAGGCCATAATGTGAGCTTGTATCAGAGTTCAAATATGAGTTTAGCTACATTACCTCTCTGTGACCAATATTGCACATCATATTTGCTTCAGGCGTTGAACTTAAAACGAAACCACTAATTTACGCATGCGTCACATGAGGCGAGTCCCCGTGGGGTCGCTGACAACAGCGTCACCTGCTCGAACATGAAGGCGAACTCGACGCTGTCACTCGGAACGTGCCCCGTGTCCAGAAAGCAGTAGAGCTTGAAATAAAGACGCCAGGAGTTGCTGCTGTTGCCATCATCCATCATCACCTCTTCTGTCTCGTTCTCTGCTCCCATCCTGGCACACCGAGCATAAGGGGACATTATTAGCGATGATGCCACTTTCGCTTCAAAAGTACTGAAGAATGGGGTTCAGAACATCCTGCAGCATGGCCCTATTTAGAGGTATGCACACAAAAACTCGGGGGGGGGGGGGCACGACTCAGTCAATGATAAACTAACTTTGAACACATTTTAAATGATTAACAGAATGAGTAATGGTCCTATGTACTTTTGTTTACCTATGTATATGACAGGCTGCGACACCCATGGCTTAAATGTACTTATTTTCACTGTAACAACTTAGAAGGGGGGCTGGGTCTTAAGCACGGGGGCTCAGCCCCCTCTAACCCGACACCCCACTACTACGGAGCTAGTTCCAGAGCTCATTCAATACAAGAAAACCTCAAATACGTTTGTCAATACCACTGCCAACGCAGCATCGCAAAGTAATTTAGTTGGGGAGTTGCTTTGCGAGATTGCTGGAGCACACAGCATACTTCTCGAACTTGGCGAGCACGTCAACCACGATGGTGCGGTTCTCCAGGGCTTTTTCCATTTTCCCTCGGCGCTCAAAGAGTGAGAATGTGTTCCTGCTGCCCTCCATGGCCAGGCCACGCATCAGCTTGGCAACCACCTGCATGGGACCACGATGGGGCGGGCAGCGATGTACGGAGATGGTTGGGGTTGGGACAAGAATAAAAATAACATTTAGTCGAACAGTAGGAAGTAAAAAAAAATTGTACAGCCAACCCATAAAGTGCCCATTTCATGAAATTATGTAATTTTAATAAAGGTAAAAGTAAATACTGATAGTTCTATATGCAACTTTTCTATAATTTCTGGGTTTAAATAGTAATTTAAGTTTAATAAGAACAAAACTATTGTTATTAATACTGGAAAATGCCCATAATATGTCAGCTTATGCCCCCCAAAAAGACTCCATTTGCACCTCCCCCCCTCATATTTCTGAGATTTTTTCCTAATTTTACCAACTGTCAGAATACTGAGGAATAAGAAGACAGTTAAGAAGTTCGTAAATCCGCGTAAGATTGCCGTGGTTAATAATTTCAGTCAAAGGTCGTAGGTCACTGCACTTTATGCTCTGTAACGTAAATTAATCAAGTCAGTCCTTTTGACTTAGAAACTGACTGAGATAAACAAAGTTGTTTTTCTTTACGTGGATACCATCTATTATACGTAGGTTTTAACGGTTGTGCTGTATCGCTCTCTGATACATCTTCAAGTTTTACCCCGTCTTTGCTTGGCATGATGGTTGCCGTATTGCGCCACGTGCCAAACAATGCGTGGTACAACCCAAAAGCATTTAGACATCACGTGAACAGGCGGGTTTTCCCACCTCGCCGGCAGTGGTGTGTGAGTCGATGGTGATTTTGCAGGAGCCCCCGCCGTGGCAGTAGATGGTGGTGGTCATCTCTTGCTGGCTCACGATAGCCTGGATCTCCTCTTGTGACGGAATGAATTCCCGCAACTTTGTCTTCTTCAGCGAGTCCAGGATGAAGGAGGCGTACTGTTCAGTCTCCGTGCCGGGAAACCGATCCTTTACTCTGTGGAGACAAGGGGCTCTCTATAAGGCCGATTTATTTATTTCCCTTGGCAATGCTTAATTATCCTAGTACACAATGGATGTATACAGATATACAAGGGTATCTATTTATGATATAAAACTCAGCGCCACTGTCAGGACTAGACATTACAATAAATGTGCCTGGAGAGGATCGTGAAGCGACACAAAAGTGGGTGGAAAAAGGAGCGGGAAAGATTAAAAATCAGGTGGAGAGATGTGGCGGGAAAAGATTTAGGCGAAGAGCGCATTGATATTGGTTACAGAAAGAGAACCATGGGCGAAATTAATTCTGCCCTATTGCTGCCAACGTATGTCGATGGTGATAAGAATTTATATTGGGAGATTTGAGCCTCCAGTAAGGGTTGGAGAGGGGGGCGGGCGAGGAGGAGGAGGAGGAGGGGCTCACAGCCCCCTCCGGCCGATCGCTCGCAGCACCTCTTCAGGTGGAAGCGGACGTATCGCAAGACGGCGCGGCCCGGTGGGAACGTGCAGCTCAAGCAGGCGAACAGGTGCCACGTGCGGAGGCCGCCGGTGCCGAGCGGCTGGGGCGCGAAGCTCGTCTGCTTGACGAGCTGGCAGTAGAGCTCGTCGTGCAGCGGGCGCAGGTCGTGGCACGTCTGCAGCACCCCCTGGTAGATGGGCAGCGGCTCGGGCACGGCGTCGAGGCCCTGCAGCGTGTGGAAGATGCGCACCGCCTCCTCCTGCAGCGTCGTGTAGCCGCGCTCCTTGGGCACTGCTCTCCCGCCCGCCGGGCGCGGCGCCACCGGCACACGGACACCGAGGATCAACGCGGCCGCTCATGGTTTGGTATTTTTTTAAAGCGTATTTCGTTGGGTGCATCGTCGATTTCACTGTTGTTAAAATCTGGAGTCACTATATACATGCTGGATATAGTTAAAGGCATCACATTCTGGGAAAAGTAAGCCGCTTGCATTTATCATTGGTGTGGGTTTATGTACAAATTTGTAGATTCGTTTTGTTTTATACAAACTTTATCAGTAGCACCACGTGTCTAAACTAGACAGTAACGACATGTGACAGAGTAAGGACAATCTAACAACAACAAAAACTTCCATTTTACATCACGTCTAGATGGAACCTACATCTCAAAAGCGCCTAACAACTCTGAACGAATATACAAGGGAACAAAGGAAGGTGGAGGCGGAGAGGACAGGAAACATGGCTAAGAGCAACGCGAGTGACACCGTGATACAGGTCGGGACAAAGGAACCAGAGCCCAGGATGAACCTCAAGTCCCATGATCAGCTGGGGCAGCATCACCACCCACAAGATCATAATCATCAACAACATTATCATCCAGCAGCTCGGGACACAGCTTGGTGGCACTGCACCTCTGTGGATGCTGCGTCACCAACGCCGCATTTTGAGGGTGGGGGGCCTCAAACTCACGGTTGGGGCTGACGTCGCCGTATGGCAGTGGCAGCAGCGGCGAGCGAAGTGGGTGTTGGCTGTAGCGCAGGATCGGGTTCCGCTTGTAAATCTGATCCACCACCTCTGCACTACACATGTTCTCCTGCACCAGCGGGAAGAGCGCCATTACATAACACTGCGGTGTACTGTGCATACGTGAACGTGTCTGTCAGGAGGTCATGGAACAGACCGAGGTGCCATGGGTGCCAGTCACCTCAGTCAATCAACCCACGGCACCTGGGTCTGTAACGTGACCTGCCAGGGGGGCATTTAAAGTGCACCTAGCATGGCACAAGCGCCGTGTTGACGTCACTGCCACTTAGTGGTGAACGGCGGCTGTTGTTATTGTTGTGTCTGTGTAAACAAGGTGTATATATGGCTATGGATGACATCGGGGTGAGCGAGGTGCAGGGTGTATAAAACTTCAGCACTGGGAGAGAAGTAGCCCATATGGCTAAATGGGGACCCCTTTGTCTTTGTATGCATATCATCTGAAGATGGCCTGGGCCCCCCGAGGTCAACTCAGCCTTAAACGGGTAACCGATTGAGCGGTGTCGTCATCTGCACTTGTGGTAAAGCACGATTGTTCTCTACAGGGAAGTAGTGCAATGCAATTCAAAGCGAAACTGGTTTTCAATGTCTCTGGTTGCTATTTGTGTTAAGACACATCCTTATTTAGACTATGGGGTGTTAGGAATGGTAACAATGTCTGAGCAGCGTACAAAATGAATGTTGAATCCTTAAAAAAATAATCAGATGGAGGCTTCCCCATGGCATGGAGGTTGTTTGACCATACTTCTGGCCACAAATTATAGCTTCACGAAGTAGCTTATCATTTGGATATTTATAAGAACCAAACAATCTCAAAGTACGTTTCTAAATGGAGGGAAAAACCGAAGGACCCGGAGAAAAAATGCACGTGACCACGGGGAGAACATGCAAACTCCAAATATACACGCCTCAGTGTCAGGATTGAACTCACGACCTCCTGTATACCAGGCAAGGTAATTATGAACCTCTTTGCCACTTCACCACGCTGGCCAGTGTGAGTGGGTGAAGAGGAGGCATTGACCGATTTAGATATCGCTCTCTAATGACGATAACCGTGGTTGGGAATTTAATGTTGCCAGATTTATCGTGCAGTTCTCTAACCGCTGCGTGACCACTCTGCACCCACTTCTCCCTCCCACCACCCTATACATTTTAGGCATAGCCCAACTTCCTATACAAGTAAATAAACATTTGAAAACAAACTTAAAAGCAACATAAACTTGGATGCTTACATTTGTGGTTCGACCGAAACAAAAATGCAAAAATCAATGGCAGGAAGTGCGTTGAGTTGTGGCCAAAGAAGATGGCCACGCTTTGGAGTGTGGAACATGAAGCGGAGGGGGCGTGGGGAGAGCCGCCACCTTAATGTCCTGGATGAGCTGCTGAGTGGGCGTCTCGATGGGAGTCTTGGAGTCGATGACGGTCTGCACAGCGCTCGCCCAGCGCGACGCCTCCGACAGCAGCTTTGTGTAAAGGTGGTACGAGTGCTTGCGTCCATGCACCGTAATGCTCCAGTAGCCTGGAGGAAGGACAGCATGGACAGCGGCCGTGCTCGGACATTTAAAACGACGACATTGAGATGAACCGGGCAGGGACACACGGCTAGCTTCGTTGGGATCGTGGGGTTGACAAACACAGCTTTGCTCCCGGGGTAATATAGAATGTTTGTGTGCAGAGCATGTGACGGTGTTACGTGTGTCGGCAACAATGGTAAAAGAAAATCGAAGTGTAAATTTCTATTCGCACCCGATTCAGACAGATACGATTTCTAACTAAATAAAATCAGGCATGGAGTGACACTTGCTTTAGTAGCAGAAAAGCACTTCTTAATAGGCATGTAATGATGCATGGATAATCATTGATTCTTATGCTCATGATATATCTATTCAATTATGTATGTGATGATGATTTAATAAATGTCCAAATTATAATAATTTGCTAACGTGTGTTGTGATTAAATTAATATAGGAAACAGAACTCTAAAATGAGAAGTAATAAATGTGCCACAATGCAAACTAAAAAACAAAATCGATGGGACAATAAATACTCGATTCTTAAATGTAATAGCGACCACGAATGGTGACAATGCCTCGAATCACTGGGGGTGTGAACGGCCCTACCTTTCTGACACATTTAATTCCACTATAAACATCCAAAACTTTTCAGTTAATTTCCATAGCCATCCCTTGTCATAACGTGCACAGCTCCACTGCTCCGGAGGGTTTTTCCTACAAAAAATCTTTGCCCTGTGAGCACCGCTCTGCACTGTGGTAGTGGCCGTCCACTGGTTGCGTGTCTCACGCTGTGCTTCTTAATTACAACCGGAATGGTCCAGAATGCTGTTCTGGGAATTACTTTGGCATGCCACATCTGTGTCAACTTACTTTGTACTAATTTTTTAGAATTCCGCTCACAGGATCACAGGATTACAGGACACGACAATACAGGATTATTACGGATAGGCTTACCTTGTACTCTCGTGGTGGTGCATTACGACAATAATCCGTACCCCAAGCAGAGCTCGGCAGCATTCCGGATAATATCGAGCGAAGAATCAAGCCCTACTCACCCGTTTCCTTGAAGGTCCTCTCGTCGGCCTGCGTGATGCAGCACAGGCTGTTGAGCACCAGCGTGCCCAGCTTTGTGGTGCCGCGCTCCGAACTCCGGTAGTAGTCGAGCGAGTTGTGCGTCAGCACCACCCAGCGCTTCTTGAGCCGCTGCGTGAGCGCCGACCTCACGGTGCCCTTGCTTGAGCCCTTCACCTCCTTGTGCAGCCACCCTGGTGGAGCACACACGGAACGCAGCAACCACAATGCACGTGGTTATTACGCAGCAAACTCTCCATTGTCTCGGGTAATGGGATGGAGGGGATGGCCCGGATTAAAACAAAAGCAATGACAATGTCAAATGTGTTTAGTTACTGCTATATATAAAAAAATAGTGATTGTATGCCTTTGTATCGTGCGGGTGGAGATGTAGAATGTGTTGTCCTGTTTTTCATTGCTAATGAAATGTAACCGGTTTACTTGCCAAACTGTTTGCGGTCTTTAGGGAACCAAGTCAATGACCTTCGAAAAGCGAGAAGCTGCTAATAATTATATAATAGACCCAGTGTGCACTTAACAGGTGCGAATTAGCAAGTTTAATCTGCAATCTGGATAATCCACTCACAGCTAATGGACAGTTAACTGCACTCCTTGTGGGGACACACACAAAAAGGTTCCTCGTTTAGCCATATGGATGATTGTGGTAAGTGCTGTTAACGAGCACTTATTAATGCTGGCATGGTGTTTGAAGCGGTGGTGTGGTCAGCTCCATGCCTGGTCACCTAAGTTAAGGCTGTCTTGACCTAGACACGTGCTGATACTACTACTTACTACTGATCTCATCTGTGGCCGGGAATCAAACTCTGGTCACCATATTTATAGCTAAATGCGCAAGTACTATCACAAACCAACAGGAATCATACGATCGTACATTTTCCGACAATTCCTCCGTGCTTATCCATAGTTTCGTTTGGCTTTATTTCTATTCATTTTCGGAACATAGATTGAATGTTACTCATTGGAATTTCACACGCAGCTTAGATAGCACTGGGGTAATATAAAACCAGCAGACGAGGCTCAAGAAGGCAAAAGCTTTCGCAACATGGAATACCCACACAGCTGCAGGCAGCTGTGCAAGTTGAGAATTTCAAAGAATTTCAGAAATCATTGTGAGCTATTTGAGACTTCACTTCAAGTTTTTGGCTGTTGACATTGTTGTGTGTCACTACAAAGTGTCAAGAATACCTCCCAAGAATGTTCAGGTAGGTGTGCGTGCGTGCGTGTATATGTATGCTGTGTGCATATGTATGTGTGTGTGCGTATCTTAGTGTGCATATCTGTGCATTCATGTGTATGTGTGCGTGAGAGTGTGCAAATATGTGCATGCTTCTACACGTTTATGTGTGCGTATTAGCAAGCATGCATACGTTCACGCGTGTGTATGTATACGTGTAAACATCGCCACTGGGGTAGACAAAGGCGGCCGGGCGTGGCGCTGGCCACCCACCCCCTCGTGTGCCGTTCCGGCCATCATCGGTGCTCGCTAACAGCACTTGCCCCTACTCTGTTAAGGCCACACGGGGGAATCTCTGTCTTTGTACGTGCGTGTATGTGCACGGATGTACGTGTCTGTGCGTGCTGCCGTGTGCGCGCGCCATTTCATCGCAACACCTCGTACGATGAACTCCTGTCCCTCGACGCGCGCATCGCCCTTGCTGCGCTGTAGCAGCGCGATCCAGTGGTGCATCTCCTCTGCCGTGTCGGTGTTGCACTGCAGCACGCGGTTCGCCGTGATGATCACAAACGAGTTTTGTCTGAATGCGCGCCACATCAGAACATCGGAGGACGATCGCAGCGTCAGAAAGTGTACTAACGAGAGGCGGCCATTCCGTACATCCAGCTCGTTACTGGCAACAAACTAGACAAGCTAGAAGGCAGCCAGAAATCGGCTCCAACAATTGCCTAAGCTCTGTGGTCTGACAGTAGGTGGTGTGGGGGGGGAAGGGGACACACTGGTTCTGTGGAATCACAAATTAGTATTTATATTTCGTAAAAAAAAAAAGACATTTAAAAATTTTGGTAAATTTAGACCATGACGCGGTCAAGCAATGCTAGAGACATCAAGAGATTTTTTTTTTTATTTACCATCCGCTGTGAAGCAGGTTAATATACCCGCAGATACATGCAACTATAAAAGACAAAGATCCCCCGTATAGCTTGAACAGACTGTTGGGGCAGTGCTGTTAGCGAGTACCTATGAAGGCCAGCATGCCACACGAGGGGGTGGGTGGCCAGCACCGCGCCGGGCCGCCTTTGTCTCCCCAGTAGCAATGTTCACACGCCGCACCAGGTACTCATTTGAGGCGGAGTCAAACTAGGGGAAGCCCAGGACCGGTTCATATAATCGTCACTGGTGTTGGCCGTGAGCGGGAATTGAACCCGGGTCGCCAGGTTTGCAGTGCAGCGCGCTAACCACTACGCTACAGCACGCGCACACACACACACAGGCTCGATTGTACAGGTGTACATACATAAGCTCTCCAGACGGTCCATCTATGCTCCCCACCTTCACTATACTACACTGACGAGCATTGTGAAGTACGGTCAAATAACCCCCGTGACCGGGACTGCGTTGAAAATACAGCGCGTCACTGTCACTCGTGCCATTGGACTACCTGGGACACAGTCGAGGTATGTATCAAAATAAGCACAGTTTGTTTTTGAGGTAGTCTTCATTTCATATGAAACATGTCATTTATTTAATCACTACTGTGGGCAATCAGCCACAGCTATGAACTACCACCACACACTCAAGACAACAGAATATTGTACAAACCTGTCTGGATTGTCAGAGGCGCAGGCTGCATCTATTAAACCAACATCCAAGGTTCCCTGAAACATTATAGAGGACAAAGAAACAAGTGTTATTTAAGAGGCAATATGATCGTATTCAAATTCTCTTGTATCGTATTCGTTTAATAATTGATCATTGAGAAGTTCAAGACTATTTAATTGTCAGCTGGAAGTGTGAGTGGGACAGGTGTGAGGAATAGGCAGGGCTATGGGGCTGTCAGTTGATGAAATGAGTGGCGAATACAGGCTAAGCGAGGCAGTGAGGTACTTACCAAACATGCTCATCTAAGTGGGAGCCAATATTTAAGCTATTTTGCACCATACAAATTTTCAAAGTCAAACATCAAACTGTAAAAAAGTTTTAAAAAATCCACAGGCCACTATTTAAATCGGTCAGGTTGTAAAGTGTGGAAGTGTACTAGGGCTGTTTAACACGTAGGCTTATGGATGTACTGGGGCTCTCAGGCCAGAGGGGTCCATGGGCCAGGGGGGCTCGGACACTGGGTTATGAAAAGGGAGGGAGATCGGGCAGGGGAAATAACCAACTTAATTCATTGCATCAGGACCTAGAGAAACCATGCTCCACCACCACTGGCAAGGCGATGTGCTCACCACAGCGTTCTTGGGGTTGGCCATCTCGTCGTGCATGGTCTGCAGCTCCTGCTCGGAAGCGCCGTGCACGCGGCTCATAGCGCTGAACCACTCACTGTGCTCGACCGAACACACACACACAGACAGACACAGGGCCACACGGTCACGTCGTGAGACATCGAGCAGCGGCAAACAACCACAGACACATCTGGCAGTGACTCATCACAGGCAATGCCAGCAGCTGTCATGGATTTTCTGAAGACGGCATTTCTTTGAAATGAAAAAATACATGGACAAAGGTACTCGTAGGCGGCTGGGCGTGGTGCTGGCCACCCACACCTTCTTCGTGAGCCGCACTGGCCTTCATCGATGCTCGCTGACAACACTTGCTCCTACAGTCTTGTTAAGGCTATACGGGAGATCATTATCTTTATATATACACACACATCACCATAGGCCAATAGGTGCCTGCTAACAGCACTTGTCACAACAGTTCATTAAAGGCTCACTATTTAGCAATTGCCCAAACAGCCGAGGTAGGTGACACAGAGGATTTTCGTCTTTGTACGATGTGTATATGTGTGAAGACGAAATAGAGAAATATTTAAAAAACATTGTTTGTAAGTGTTTCAAAGCTCTCTTATTATTCAATTCCACTTACATAATTGGCACTTATTATTGAAATAAAACTCATAAGTACTGCATTATATAACCAGCGGGAGCTGATTTCTTTATTACAGCACCTCATTGCATAACCTTTTTACTATGGTTGCATTTGTCTTGTAATTCTGTTCCCACAAAATAGCCCACATGCAAAGGAACACATGTACGGCATGTGTGCATGTGTCATGTGAGATATTTACATATACACTCACAACATTCCTTCCGGCGTCTCACCTGGCATCTTCAGGAGACTCGGCAATGAGGTGGTACGTCCGCTCTTTCATCACCACGTTGATTCCGTTCTCCTTGTCTGTGTTGTCAATAATTTCTCTGCCAGGGCAACAGCAGCCACAGGACGTGCAGGCAGCAATGGATATTTTTTTACCATATTTCACCATACCGTCCATAATATAGGTTTTTTTGGGTTAGATCGCGTAAATATAAGTGTCTTTAAAACCCGCCACCACCCGACACAGCCAACTAGTAAGGGTTGTCACGTAAACAGAACATCCCAATTCGTCACTAATAGAGCAGACCGGTGTGTTGGAGAGCCAAGCCAAAACAAACAAAAAACTCTATTATGGATGATATAGGTCGCGAAAGCCGACGTGTTAAATTCACCATACCGGTCAGTGAAGCAAGAGGGCAGTACAGAACAATAGGTTGCAATGCACCTAACCTCTTCTGCCCACAGTGCCTATAACACCTGATTTATGCACGGTGGTCACCCATCCGAGCACTAACCAGGCTCAAAGCTGCTTGGCTTTCATCGGATGATATTGGGGTTATTTCGGGCGATGTGGTCACAGCATTAGCACGATAGACGTACATCTCCTCGCCACTGGTTTCATATCATGCACCACCGGCTCATTGTGGAAGTGGAGCACACGGGGTTTAGATCGGAATTAGAGCTCACCAAAACAATCGCTTTATCGTCGTGACCTTAAGACTGCATTGAGCTAAACTATGCTGTTCTATTCCTGAACAAAGACTTTCATACACAATGGGAGGAACGAGCCCATGCACATAATACACCCCATTTAAGGTTGACGTATGTGAGCACAAGTGGCGTGAAGAATGTGCAGGGCCACTGCGGCTGTGAGTGGAGGGAATGAGAGGCCCAGGTGAGCCAAGTGAGGTCAACGCTCACCACACCAGACCCGATACAAACCGGAATGCTCCGATTCTCACTAATCTTGTTCACATAGCCTTGAGCGCAGTGATGTAGTGGGGTTGGCATGGACTCTGGTGTAAAGAATGAAATGGCACCCCCCATCCAATTTCCCATCCTCTTCGGTTCATGGGCCCCTGTGCAGTTGCACCATCTGCACACTCGACAGCTACGCCACTGCTGGAGATGGGCCCTAAATCACTCGTCACACCCGGGTGAACTTTCCTTCTGTTCATCTCCCAGCTTGTTTCGCTCGACAAAACATCGTGCTATTTCGTTGGCGTTGGTGCATAGAGCCACAAACAAGAAGAGCTCGGGAAAATGGTCAACACACTTCCTAAAAGAGGGAAAGTAAACAAGTACATATAAATAAAATTGGCGACATTGCAGGAAATGTCCCTTCTCCATGGCTCTGGATCTCTGTGCTATGGGGGGTCATTTCCCCAGAACGTCACCTATTCGATACTTCTTCTTCTTCATTCCACTTTTGTTTGGAGCTCTGGCCGGAGTCTGTGTGGTTCCATTTCTCCTCGTGCTCCCAACGAGCATGGATGTTTTGTCGAGCATCAGCCCCACCCCCCCCCCCCCTGGTGGAAACGCGGCCGAGCTGTCCTCACCTGGCCGAGCGAACGTCGAGGACGCCCTTGAGCTTCTCCTCGCTGTCGCTCTCGAAGTACATGAGCTTGGCGTCGCGCAGCACGAACCAGCGGCGCTTCCAGTTCCGGCGTGACAGCGTGGAGGTGCCGCCGCCCTTCTTGTGGAGCCAGCCGGCCTTGAGGGCCTCCTGCTTGGCGCGGAACCACATGAAGGTGTCGTCCTTGAGCACGCACCAGCGCCGCTTCCACATGTTCATCATGCCCACTGCAGGGCGGCAGCGCACGCACGTGCAAAGACAAAGATCCCCCATAATCCGATTAGCACGGTTGGCTACGTAGGGTGCGAAAGACGTTCAACGTACAGTACATGCATCTATAGCCTTAATAGACTGTTGGGGCCAGTGCTGTTATCGAGCACCTATGAAGGCCGGCACAGCACACGAGGGGGTGGTTGGTCAACACCACGCCCAGCCGCCTTTGTCTGCCGAGTGGCGATGTTTACACACAGCACCAGGTACTCATGTGAGGCTGAGTCGACCTAGGGAAGACCCATGACCAGTTCAAATACTTTCAACTCATGGATCGTGAGCGGGACTCAAACTCGGGTGGCTGGGTTCATAGCGCAGCGCGCTAACCGCTGCACCACACACATACACACACGAACACATGCGGAAAAACACAGATGTGACCGCCACATGATCATCACAAGGGTATCATGGGAGGGAGTGGAAAGAAGCAAATGTTCTTTGAGTGAGGTGAATTTTTGGTTGTATATCTTTGGAAATCCTAGCAATGTTCGTCAGCTGGTCTCACAGCCCACCTTTGATGTGGAGGTAGCTATGGAAGTAAGGCGTGCCCAGGGAGCTGTAGATGGTTTCCCGACGGGACGCCAGATCCTCCTCATCAAACCCTCGGTCGAAATCTTCATCGCTCTCTCCCACCTGACCACAACAACAAAAACAAGACCACATCCGTGCTCACACGACCATCGCACGGAACGCAGTGCCATCGAAGGAGCAGAACATGGCGGCGTGTGTGCTCACCGACAACTGGGGCCCGTCCAGCGAGCCGTAGGGGTAGGCCGAGCCGTTGTACGTGTTTACGGAGTAGCGGAACTCGCGCTCGGGCGACAGTGGCTGCCGGCTGGTGCGGCGCATCCTGACCGTCTCGGTGCCGGTGACGGAGGCCGTGTCCTCGCCCTCCAGGTCAAACTCCTCGAGCAGCGGAGCGTCATACACAGGCTCCTCCTGCGCCTCTGCCACGGTGGCGTCGGGCGCCGTCCTGCCCGCCAGCTGGTCCTCCTCGAACGACTCGTCGCTCGTGTGAATTCCGCTCGTGCGCTGGTCGTACGAGCCCTTGCTGCCCACGACCCCCTCGCCGCTGGTGCCGTCGCCCCCTTCGCCGAGCTCCCCGACGGCGCCGCCGGCGCCCGTGCCACGGCTGCCCGGTCGCGATGAGCCCCTGTGGTGCTCTTCGGCACCGCCGCCGACGAAGCCTTCGTCGTCCTCCTCTTCGGGCGCCTTGCCCCGACTCTCAGGCCTTGGCGGCCCCTCCAGCGAGCCGCCGCTGCTCCGGCTGAGGGCACCGCCCTCGCTGTCGTAGCCCTCGCCGAAGTCGAGCGACTCGAGGAAGTCTTGGGCGGCGCACGCGGCCTCCTGCTCCAGCCGACGGATTGCCTGCTCACGAGCCAGCCACTCGCCCTCCGCCTCGGAGCCCAGTTCTGTGGGCGATGGCCGGGCGAGCGGGTCCTTGGCCGGGGCGGCGGCATCAACCGCCGCCAGCTGCAGCTGCCGGAGCTCGTCGATCTCGCGCTCCAGCCGCTGTATCACCAGCAGCTGCTCCGTCTCCTGCATCGGGTCCGACCCCGCAGTTGTTGGGTTTTCGCCGTCGGTCGCGCCAGCGGCTGCGGCCATCGTGGCTTTTTTCCGCATTTCCTCTTCCTCCTGCTGAAGACGTAAGCATGAAGACGCATTGCACACCAGCTGTGAGTTGTGTCATGCGCTGCAAAGGCTTTAGTGTGTTTATTTTTAATGGAAAAGGTGCGAATAGGTCATGTGGATAAATACCTTCTGAGCCAGCTCTGCTTCTAGTTTTCGCCTGCAAAGTGACAAATATTTTTAGACAATGTGAATTGTGACGCATAATGTATTTCATGAGCTAAGCAATTTTAAAAACCGTCTTTAATTGTATCGATGAGCCCCCTTTGTCACGTGTTTTTTTTTCTCCATTTTAATCCCTGGAGGTGTCATGTAGCGAGTTGAATACTACATTTGGATCTCTCGCAAAGCAGTGCAGCCCCTCGTTGGCGAATGGCTCACACAATAGGGGAGTGTGGCCCGCTCTGAATACCTCTGCCACAAAAAGTCATCTTCAGCGCGAGAAAGTAAATCCAACGTTTTATTTTTGAGAGCTGGAATTTAGCCAAACCAAGTACAAAACCATAGTTCACGGGATGTTTCCTTTCTGCTTTCATTCAGTAATTTTGTCACCACGCCGAGACCATCAGCTCAACAGAACCTGGGCAGCTAAAGCCCAGACTCGAACCCCAACATCCGAGCGGTGCGAATCCTCACTGCTCCTCCTCCATCCTCCTCAGCTCCTCCTCCCTCCTCCTGCGCTCCTCCTCCTCGCGCCTACGCTTCTCCTCCAGCAGAGCCCGGTAGAGGCGGCGGGCCAGCGCGCTGCGCCGGTGCTTCTGCAGCGTGATGGCGCTCGCCCGCAGCCTGGAGAAGCGGCGCTGGCACGAGCGGCAGCGGAACCACGCCTGCACGGCCACGGCGCACGCACGCAGCCGGCGGAAACGCTTCCTGCTCCACGGCAAGCACGACACACGCACATAACACCGTGAACATTTTTTTTTATTTTATTTTACCAGATAAGACCCACTGAGCTATATAGCTCTTTTTCAGAAGCAACCTGGCCACAAATGATAGCTCAACAAAGTGGCTTACTGTGGGGATACGTATAGCAGCCAAATACTCTAAACCAGTGGTTCTTAACCTGGAGCGCATGCAGCCCCTGGGGGTGCGAGATGCCCTTTCTTGGGGTGTGAGACATGCCAGATTTTTGTCAGAAGGTAAATCGTCTATACACAAATTAAGCACGGGCACGTAAACACAACTACTTTGTTTCATCAAACCTATGTAGTTATTGTTTTAACGATTGAGAATCAAAGGGGTGCAAGGCTGCGGTAAAGGTGAAGAACGACTGCTCTAAACGCATGTTTCTAAATGTGGAGGCAAGAACCGGAGGACCACGTGACCACGGGGAGAACATGGAAACTCCAAATATACAACAGGCGTCAGGGGTCGGCATCGATCCCATGAACTCCTGTAAACCAGGCGAGGTAGTTAACATTTCGACAACGTGGCGCCCTTACATGATATAGAGGTTCACAATGCACGCACAACTATGCGCATGCACATTACACGTTGCACGCTCACATGATCGCATGAACATAATGTGTACACTCAGATAGACACGATGCACGTGTATATACACACACGCGCTTCCACACGCCAAGCACATGTAATCCACACGCTCGTATACGGTACACAAAAAATGCCCGCACATGACGTATGTTACTGCGCTGCGCTAAAATGTGCGCGGTTAAAGTTCTTTGTTTGACATTTGGGAGCTGAAGGACATGTTAAGGATGCGGCTAATCATTTAATCTTAAAGTAAATATACAAAAGGTGATTTTAAAAGTCTATTTGTATCGAGGAAGTAACCATAACCACAATGCACTGCATATGGACATGTAACATCCACTAAATAGTGATAAATGCGGGGCATAAATGCCGTGACATTTTCCATTTGCTGTCGATCTGTATCACATTAATCCAACATATGAACGCTCCAAGGCATTATTTACACTCGGAATTAATTTGAATTCGATAAACCTCCTCTGGACGGAGCTCCCAGCACGTGGCGAACAATGTGCGGTTCAACATGGGAAACGCTTCGGAGTGCCGCACAGCGCAACCGAGATCCACCTGCACAGTGGAGGCAGCAGACAAGCAACTGGAAAAAAGGCAGCGCAAACATGTTCACATGCAGCCCTGGGACTTCTATCCACTGCTGACCCCTGCCCTTTGACCTACAATCCGCTGACCTTGCGAGGTAGGCGAGCACATGCGCGCGGATGAGAGTGGCGGATTTGTGCAGCTCGGTGTCGCGCAGCTTCTCCAGGTTCTGCTCCAGCGTGTCGCGTAGGAACACCTGGCGAGACGACACGCGCACGGCTCGCGAGCGTCACCCTGCGCATCACCATGGCGGATTCCCAAAATCCCCCAGCCCCGTAATCGAGATCACGCCGCCCCAGCGCTACGCTCGCTCCGTTGGCTCCCAATCCAAATCCCAGACGCATTTCATGCTGGCAACGTCTTCAAGATCATCCATGGATGCGTCCCTGCGTACTACTCCCCTCTCATCCGTCTACTCCCTTTCACGCACTCTCCTTCCTATCCCTCGCATCTCCCTAGTACTCCCGTCCATGCGCTATTATACTCATCCCGTTCCCATCTCGCTCTTCTGTGTTTTATGCACTCTCTTGCCCCGGCAACCAACGCCTGCAGTTGAAGCTCCCCGTCAATCTTCGCCCAGTGGGAGATCACTCATTCTCCTCTGCTGCCCCCAGGGTCTGGAACTCCCCAGTCATCCCTGCTGTCAAATCCCTTGCTACGATTCAAGTCAACGTTCAAGACTTTCTTGTTTTGGTTGCCTATGACTTACTGCCTCTCCCCTCATGCAATGAACGCGCCCACGGTTTCTCTACAGCGTCTGCTGCATATGTGGTCGCTTTAGACACTACGGTACTATAAATTCAGCCAGAATGCATTGCAGGGTACCTGCAATGCATTGAAGAGCGCCCCCTCCTGTTTCAACGCAAGAACAGGAGCCCCAATGCCGACGAACTTCGTGCAAGTCTCAATATCTCACTCACGCATACATTACACAGGCCTAGCATTGCGGTTTTCAATGTTCCACGAATCATGTTTCATAAAATCCTCTACGTCTCTATGGAATAATACATTAATGAACTCGGCGAAGCAAAAAAAATGCGGCAAAGCAGCTCGTCACAGGATGTGCTCACAGTTAAATTGATGCCGTTGAAAAACACAAACAGAAAGAAGTCGGCCATCAGCGCAGCATCTCTCGTCTTACGCACCTTGGTTCTCCCGAGCTGCCAGGCAGCATTCTTCGCGTCGTACACGCGGAGGAGCGCGATGCACTTGCCCTTGGGGTCGTCGGGCACCTCGCGGTTCCCAAGCAGCACCTTGTACCTGCGGCGGCGAAGGTGCCAGGAGAGTGGGAAGCGGTAACGGAGGCAGAGAGGCGCGGTTTTGCACGACACTACACGTGCGGGCGCAGCATGGAGGTGCGATGACGATGGTGGCGATGGTGGCGCAGGAGATGGTGTTTGCATAGTGTTGGTTGTGGTGCCTCACACCTTGTCGATGCAATGCTGGTGCACCGCTGGGTGCGGTGTTAGAGATTTCATCGTTGAAATATCAGTGAGGTAGCTGGCAGCAATGTTGATGATTTTGTTCGTGCGGTGCCAGCTTGGGGTCAACGTGGCGTGAGTGCGGCGTCGGCAATGGCGTTAGTGTGGTGTCGTCGACGATTTTGCCGGCGAGCGAGCGGGTATCGTCCATGTCGTGTCAGGTACTGCAATGGTGCAGTTCCGGCAATGGGCACCACTGTGGTGTCAGCGCTGCGTCCACTTGATGCGGGCCGAGCGTCAACGTGGCGGAGATTTTCTCGGTGTCGCGTCTTTGTTGCCGTGTCTGTGCGATGTAGGCGTGGAACTGGCGCGGCGTCAGGCCGGTAACGCCGTCGTGGTTTCGGCGCCGGTACCTGCTGTAGAAATCTTGGAAGGGTCGGCGAACTGGGTAGCCGGCGCGGCGAATACGTACGGTCTCCAGCATGCCCGAGTAGCGCAGCTGGTTCAGCACCACCACGTGCTCAAACCGCTGGGCCAGCTGTAGGCGGGGATCGGCGGGCGAGACGCAAGATTGCGCACAGAAATGTTTGTTTTTATGTTTGCCTTGCTAGCAACAGCGACAATGTAATGTTATTTACAGTCCCATGCATAGAAAATATTGTCTGCTATTTGGTGTTTAAAACGATCCCAGATAAAATAGTAAGAACGTTTATTACGGCTCTCAGAAGTGCAACCTTTTAAGCGAAAGTGTTTTCTTCTAAAAAAAAACCCAGCATTTAGTTGAACAAAAAGAGCAACCGTATAATTTTAGTATTTGATTGAACACTTTTTCCAAAAACAAAGTTGCATTGTCACAAAATAAATGGCATGCAGTTACAATAAATGCAACGGAATTAAATTCATCGAATTAAATGACAATGAATGCAAGCTATAAATACAATAGAAACACTGCATGTTGCTCTTTGTTTTTTTCGGTAAAGTCACGTAGAAATAATAAAAAATAAAATTATATAATAGCATACGACGTTTCGATCGCAACACAAGCAATCATCATCAGGTAGAGGAAACACATAACCGCAGATATATATACTTAAGTAGGGGGAATTAACACAGATATACCAGGGGATACAAAGAGACGGAACATCACACTAAATCAAACAGGGTTTAGCAAAATTTGGAAACTATATAAAGCAACACAAACGGTCGGTTAAAACACAATTAGCGCATGGTTTGGTTGAATACGCTGTTTCAAAGATTGTTAAATTGTAAGTTAAGTGTGAAACTTGTTGCATTTAACATACTGAGTTCATATTGCTAAATATAAGCGCAGCACTGTGAACATTTAATAACATCGAATAAATGCTGCAATTACAACACTGATCATGTACTTTAAGACAGAAAACAGCCACGATGATGAATGAATATGAAGAGAGTCATTTCTGCCAGGACTTTTGGAATAAATCACCCACACCCAGCCCCGGCAGCCATTTCCACAGTAAGCGGCCAGGTGACTCATCGGCAGCATCTTACAGGACTTCATGTTTTTGTAATGACTCAAAACATACACTCTGCCACACAGCTTGTTCTGTGACGTGACCTACATTCGACTGGCTAAGACATAGTGCACAAAAGAACCATCTTACGCGCCATAAAATTAGAACGCACCACATATACTTGGCAAATATCAATAGCTCATTTAGGATATACCGCATTTTTTTTCCTCCAGGTTATACTGTGTTTGTTATGGCATGTTGTCCGTCGTTTTGCTCCACATGCTGGGGGGCTTCTTGAGGAATGGAATTCAGAAACTGAAGAAGTAGCTGAAGAAGCTACCAGCATGTGGAGCAAAACGCCGGACATCATACCGAATAGCACGAGGCACAACCCGAGAACATATCAGAGAGCTTTACAGTAAAACCGCGGTAAAAATGTCGCAGCAGATTGCAATGCGACACAAAATTAACGCGGTTAAAAACGTTCCCGTAGCTTCAGTCAGATACCTGCTGATAGTACTCAAGAACAATTACTGACTTCTGTTTCACTCACGTAACTCGAGAACGGACACAGCAGTCGGCGCAACTCCTGCCTGTAGCATCGGGTCGAGAGGATGCACGGCGCTGACCGTCACGCTCATGTTTATGAGCGAGTGCTTGTAAATAACTCGCGCCACGACTTTATAGCAGCGCGGCAGAGCTGTGCACTGGCAAAAGGAGCCGTGGGGCTAGGAGGGGCGGAGAGGGTGCAGTCTGAGAGCGCGGATTCATTTGCACCGCAAAACCCAGGGTTGCAATAATAATTTCAGCCAGTAACGTGCCACACGGCATTCGCTCACTCCGAAGAGAGAGGACGACTTGTGGGCATGAGGAACCACAGACAGGTGGGAAGGCCGCAAGCCAGGTGATGAGCCAGAGCCAACAATTGTCAAACTTTGTGGTCCCCTATATATTTAGATGTGTGCAGCCAATTCATGAGTGTTTACATGTGGGAGGTAACCGGAGCACTCAGAGAAAACCGACGGAAAAGGTGGAGTCCACACTTTTGCTCAACTGTCTTCTTCTAAAAAGTCAGGGTATGGCACCTCGACGCCCACGGGAAAACAGTTTCACAACATGTTTGATCCACCGAGCCTTCGGCCTCCACAGCGCTGGATCACAGGTGCGCGGCGCAACCTAAGCAACCTGTGCTATTTCGCCAAGAGAGCCCACATCACTCATTGCCGCGCCATTTGGTTGTTGCACGCGTGCTTTACAGGAATTGAATATGCAGCACCTGAAGATGTTCCGAGCATGTGGAGTGAAACGTGAGAAATCACGCCGGACAATAATCGGTACAACCCGAAAACACAGCTGAGAGCTGTGCGGTGCAACCGTGAATAAACAAAACCGATGCACTAAGGGAGCCCATGATGTGCAAATCTTGGTACAGTCCACAATAAAATACATTAACACATTTTGACCAGAGGGTCCCTTGCAGGAAGGCTGGCTCTGACCTCGTGCGATGCCGATCAGCACCACGCTGGGTTCTTGGCATTGCGCACTTGTGGGCGAACAAGTGCGTAATGAGCCCATGCTGTCTGAAGTAAGCAGTGATCACATGTTATTTTTTTAATTATCTATAAATGGGAAGCTGCCTTTCATTACATCAGTCTGTGTAGCAATTTCTTGCGGTTGGCTTAAAAAGAGATTAATTCATGACTCGGGTTTCACCGATGTCATTTTTCACCGATGTCAGTTCGGAAAGGGTCCACCATAAGTTGAAATTGGTTGTGCTTAAAATTGTATGGAAACTCTGACAAATACAGTTTTGTTACATTCATAACTTCCTTCAGATTTTCACATTCGGCATACTCAAATGAAACTACCACAACATGGACATGTGAGGAAAAATGACATTATTATTTTACATGACTTTTAAATGGTCATATTTCCTCCCCACAGATCAAACCAAGATTGCACATGGAAAGATCCTGTCGATACAGTATTTCATATTAAATGGGGGTGGGAGGTAATCCCCAAAATTAACCTCCAGGAAGAGAGAGAACGAATACTGAATACTGTGCAAAGAGAGAGAACAACACAGACAAGGAGGAAAGTGCAGCCACGTGGTCAGCCGGTATCAAATTCCCCCCACGGAGCTTTGCGGTCCCCTATATGAACCTTATGGCGGTAGCCCCCGGGGTATCATAGTACCCCGACTCTCGCATAATGTCCGTGATGCAGTCATTATTAGTCTGTTGATGGTCGACGATGCGGCAATCGACTCATCTCGACGAGCTGTACACGATGCACTATTCAAAGTTGCATTTTTCGATAACAGATTTTTTTATGCTAATGTTTGGCATTTCGACATCGCGGAGTAGCACTGATTTCAGATTGATTGGCACCCCAGTCGCGCAGTGAAGTACACCCCTGGAAAAAAAAATAGTGTCCCAGAAATAAAATATTTAATTGCCTCGGCCATTTAGTATGATTTGGTACCCCGGGGTACTGCCATAAGGATCATATATTAAGGTTTTACCGGACATTGAAGAGGTGCCAGCCTACTCTTTAGTTTTTTCGGTAAAGTCACGTAGGTAAAATAAAAATAAAATAAATGAAAACAACTAAATTAAATCACGACGTTTCGGAGGCAACACAAGCTTCCGTCTTCAGGTGGAACAGTCACAGCAGAATAGCTGTATCAAGTGGAGAGCTCTGAGACAACCGAGATTATATACAGGTTAAGGGGGGGGGGAGGAGCCAGAAAGGGACGTGGGTGGGGGGGAGGGCTGAGTTAAGCTGCCTTTTGTTATGCTGCAGGGGGTTCGGGGGGAAGACATGCACAAGTACATACAACCTACTGAAAGCAATGGCAATGGCTGTACAATTATAAGGCAGCTAAAGTTTGACTTGGTTTATAACATCTTTTCAATGGTTGCTCAATTTGAAACCATCCTCTCGGTTGAAGTTGTGTCTATGTTTGTATATCTGGATGGCTTCATGGACAAATCTTTGGTAATAACCGGAAGGTTTGCTTGCAGAGCACTTTGGTATCGGAGAAAACAATGTCATGAGAACCCGCTGTGTTGAAACAATGATCAGCCACGGCCGAAGAATTCGTGCTGCCGTGTTTCAAATCTGATTTGTGCTCGCGAATTCGGTCAGAAATATGTCGTTTCGTCTCCCCGATATAGCAGTCACTGCAGGTACAACTCAATTTGTAAACACCGGGGTACTGTAAGTCAGGAATGACATCCTTTACGGATGGGATCAGAGCACGGATTTTGTGTACTGTATTGAACCAGACCTGGATCTTGTGTTTGTTTAGAATTTTGGAAATCTTTTTGGTAACGCCTGCAGCCATCAACCATTGAAAAGATGTTATAAACCAAGTCAAACTTTAGCTGCCTTATAATTGTACAGCCATTTCCATTGCTCTCAGTGGGTTGTGTGTACTAGTACATCTCTTCCCCCGAACCCCCTGCAGCATAACAAAAGGCGGCTTAACTTAGCCCTCCCCCCCACCCACGTCCCTTTCTGGCTCCTCCGCCCCCCCCTTAACCTGTATATAATCTCGGTTGTCTCAGAGCTCTCCACTTGATACAGCTATTCTGCTGTGACTGTTCCACCTGAAGACGGAAGCTTGTGTTGCCTCCGAAACGTCGTGATTTAATTTAGTTGTTTTCATTTATTTTATTTTTATTTTACCTACGTGACTTTACCGAAAAAACCAAAGAGTATGAATCCTTGCAGTCACGAAAGCTTCAAATATATAATTAGGTGGCAGCCTCTGCGAAAAGGCACAGCCTGCCATAGGGTCTCACCTTCTTCATGTTGGGCTTTATGCAACGCACAAAGAATGGGTTGGAAGTACTCAGGCTCGCCATCAGCGAGTGCAGAGAGTCCTGGAGAAGAGGACATGCGGAGTCCGGGGCGAACGCACACAAAACATGAGCACAAGAACAGATACTCCATTTCACACTTGCAGTGGCAATAAACCAGGCAGCTCCGCATGGCGACTTCCTAAGCTACTGCTGTGAGAAAGCAATCCTGAGCCGTCGTTTCGAAATAATGACCTGGCAATGATGTCACCCAGATAATAGAGGCAAGTTGGGAAATCAATTATCCAATTGTGTGTGACTGACCGTTTAATTAAAAAGCTCAGATCTACAAAGTGTTTTTACCACTGATGTTCTTAAAGCAAAGTAATCATGTCTTATTCAAGCAGTTGCACTCATTAAAGAATTAACTCTGAGTTGGTCTTTCCTCATTTTTATACCAATTGTGTTTTCAGTGGTATCATGGCAATTAATGTTGATGGCTCGCTCACTATGTGCTCCTCATCTACCCCCGAGGGAAAGTTTGCCAAGTCAAGCCGCAAGTGGGTTATAAACCTGCAACCTTCTGATTGTGAGTCAATAGTTTTAACCACAGTGTCCCCTAGGCCAGATGTACATTGAGGCAAAATTTAAACTTACTACGCTTAGAACAGAAAGAGTCGGAATTAGAATTTCAATTACCTTTTGCAGCCCACGCATTAACACACACTCTCACTTAGGTCCTTGCAGTAACAGAAGCGACTGAGTGCAATCAAATTAGAAACACAGTGGTACTGATTCTTGTGGCCAACATGCTCGCAGTGATGGATAAATATCGTTTGTGATCTGTTTCTAATGCGCCTTATGTCGTTAATGGCCATGTAAAATGAAGTCGCAGGCTGCGTGTATGTACGTTGAACTTCTTTTGCACCGTATGTCGCCAACCGTGCTAATCGGAGGGCTGTAGGTTCTCCACGTTTGGCTTCAACGCTGCAACGAAACGCTTTAAAAACTCGTATTCGGACGGCGCTTGCAAGGCCCAAAGTTCAGCACGTAAAAAAGGGCCGTGGACATCACCTTGAACTGGGAACTGACGGTCGGCCGTCGCTGCTTGGCTCCCGCCTTCAGGGTCTCCTCGCCTCCCCCGCCGCTCACGCGCTCAAACAGGTCGTAGATGAAGTCGATTCTGCACAAAGAGGCGGCGCAGAGTGAGGAGTCGCACACTGCCAGCCCGGCCGCCGGGCAAATTTAAACCCAAACCTGTTTGTTTTTTCTGTGTTATTATTTCCTTGGCGAGAGATTAAGAGCAAAAACGCATGGTTCACATAATCACCTACTGTACCCATGACTTCATCATGCAGCCAAAGCACTCAAACTACTTTGTTTCCTTGCTGATACAGACTTCACTTCCAAACGCACTTAAACAATTGATAACATCAAGATTACTTTCAATTGTGCACTTATAATGATTGTACTGTTGTTATTTCCATACGTTAATTTACATCGATGGTTTAAATTAAAAGATATCAGTCCGGGTTAACGCTTAACAAAAGTACAAAACAATTTAATGCCCAGGCATGCCCGTTCAGAATAAAAGATCTGTTCAAGCTTATGGTAGTGAACCGTTTATGAAAATATAATTATTTTAATCACCACTATAATAGCAGACTCCATTCTCCATGGTTCGTAGAATTTTGAACGTTACAGCTGATGAAACTCATACTGGCAGTTAAAGGCAGTGAGATAGCCACCCTAATAAGCTAGAAGACAGGAAAGAAAGGGGAGGACAGGGTGAGCGAGGACGGAGACACGTGTTTGGCTGGGAGGGACTCTCACCCACTCTCCCGCAAGACGTTCAGGAGGTCGTCTCGGAATGTGTCTCTGTTTTTCTCCAGGAAGCCCCTCACATCATACAGCACCTTGTGACCATGAATGCAAATATACAGCGGATGAGTGAGAGATACATGACCAGCACGATCTGAGATACATGACCAGCACGATCTGAGATACATGATCACCATCACGACCCAAGCTTCATTTAACCCCGCCGCTCGGTTCAAGTCAATGTTGTTTAACCCATGCGACAAATCAAGAGATCATGAGGATTCTCATTTGCAAGTGTAACCTGGGTCACCAACATGAACAAAGAAATTACATAAAAACTAAGCACAACAATGAAGCGAATAGAAAATCGGAGACAAAATAACCGATTAGAAATTCTTGAAACAATAACTGTGTTACAGAAGAAATTGAAAACAGTGCACAAACATAATCGATATTCAGAAAAAGTATAGCAGCGAAAGTTGACATGGACAAATTACTTTAAAAAATATTCCAAGTTAATTTTTTTTAAACGAACATTAAAATGTATTTAAGGTAATTATTGCACAACTCTATCAACAGACGAGGGTATATGTCTTTTATATCATACCCCCATCACTCCTAGCGCAACAGGTCAGACCCCAACTACCAGCGCGACGGACTCATGACTATCATGTGCCACTGCAAAAGCCAACATCCCAGTGCTGCCATGAGGCGTAAGCAAAAGCTTTAGGGGCCCTGGATTCATGCAGAAAATATCCATTGATGAAATATCAGCTTGAATTCGGATACAATGAACATAAAGAAGCCAATTAACATGAGAAAGCAAGTTAACCTATCTCATATTTATCTTGTTTACAGCTCTCTTCTCTCATATTCCTATATTTGTATCTCATCTCGATCTCTCTTAACTCATCTTATTACATCGCTATCTTTTGCCCACATGTTTCTCATCTCATTGCAGATCTCTTGCCATCTCTTCCGTCATCTCACTCGGCATTTATAAAATGAAAGGGTACCCCCCCTCCCCCATCCACACATTATTGCTGCTTAGGGCCTCCTATGGGCCAGCAGCACCACTGCAACACACCTTCCTTTGTGACGTTACAAAATGAAAATTAGATCAATAACGTTTTCATGAACCAGAGCGCGGCGCGGTCACGTAGGACTCAATGAAACGCGCACGAGGCAGGCTAAGTGGCCACTGCACAAGGCGTTGTACCTCTCCGGCGTAATGCTTGATGCCGAACTGGTGGTCGGCCACTCTTGGCTTCGTGTAAAATTGGTTCGTCTATCGAGAGAGGAAAAAAAAAGATTGGCAAAATCATTACAGCGGTCCGCAATGATGAAAGTGGAAAGTGGATTTTTTCACCCATGACAAATGTAATCCGTGAAACAAAGGAAGCTGTCACACTTCTGCAAACAGCCGCAGGGGTTTGCAATGGTAGGAAAAGCCCAGCACATACATGCGTACACACGCACATAATTCGAATAACAAGAAAACATTTTGATTTAAAGCTTTCGTGACTGCAGTAATTCATATTCTTAGTTTTTTCGGTAAAGTCACGTTGAAGAGAAACAACAAAATAACAAAATATATTAAAAAAAAAACGTGACTTTACCGAAAAAACTAAGAATATGAACAAGAAAACAGTTTATATTTTATCATGATCATTTGCGCGAGGGGAAAGGCAAGAGTAAGAAAATGCTCGAAGGCATGGCTGTCATTTATTTTGCCCCCCCTTGAGGATTTTGACTTCAACCTTTGACCTTGCCTGTTAAAAGGGACTTTTCCAGACCCGCAGACCCACTGAAGTGGAGACTGCGGTTTCTCACCATTTTCATTCAGGACGCTATCTCCAGACATCAAATCGTAAAAGAAAGATGACCCGTGAGCCACAGGGCTTCGTTGTCTCTTGTTGGAGAACGGTTGCTGGAAAGAGAGATGAGGCTTCGGGAAATATGGAGAGAGGGGCATGTGTGACCTCACCGCGTGCTGACCGTGCAGCTTCTCCAGCATGGTGAAGTCTGTGCCCTTGGGGAAGCGGCTCTCCTCATTAATCAGTGCCAGCATGCCCAGTTTCTGTTCCGACAAGTGCAACAAAGACACAGATCGTTGCATCAAACAGTGCGGGTGTCAGATATTTCACTACCAAAGCGTTACATTATGTGGGATGTGCTTAAAATCCATTTTGACACATGGGTCAGAAACATGCACATCGGGCCTGACAGCTTAGGATTATATCGAAAGACGGAAAGAGGAACGCATGGGTCAGACAATAACTAAAATTGCAGATATTACATTAACTGTTAAAAAAATCAAGTGGACTTGGGTAAGACTCATTGCTCGAAGGGATGATGGCTGATGGACCGAGACTGGTGATGGAATGGCAGCTAAAGGAGAGAAAACACTGAAGACAGTGACCAATACAGAGATGGAGTGATGAGATGAGTTCATGTGCAGGTGTATACTGTGACCACTAAGGACCGTGACGGAGAGCGACAACGTGCAAGAGGCATTAATCTACCAGTGGATAGAAAATAGTGATCATGAGTATGATCAAAGCAGTCAAACCTTTTCAATCAAATCCAGGCACTCTCCATTATCCATCCAGTTTATGTCCTCCCAAATGATCCCTTCCCTGGAACATGGCACACATTTCCCATTTAGAAAAGAAACACTTATACAGTCACGGCTCAACCTAAGTGCAAATTTCACATGCGGCATTGACTATTCCAGGTGTAGTGGTAGTTGTGATTCACCACCCTGCTCCCCTCCCCGCCGCCCCCGAAAGATTTTATGAATCGTTGCGGTGCGGTATCACGATTTGATCTGAGAATTGATTTTTATTGTTTACATTGTGACGAATGTAAGCGGCCACTAACGGCTGCCAGTGGTTACATGGCAGCCATTTTGTACAATTTTTACACATGCGATTCAGTGACCTGAATAATTGACCGACATGCACCGTTGTGCTCCCTCAGTGATTGTGTGCCAGCACACATTAGATGTGCTGGCGACCGCACCTGTTGTACTCCAGCTGCTCCAGGGAGAAAATGTGCTTGTTGAAGTACTCCTGTAGCTTCTCATTGGCGTAGTTGATGTTGAACTGCTCAAAACGATTCACCTGTCGGTGGGGAGGCGCGCGAGAAGAGACAGAGCCACGCACATCGATAAGATAGAGATGTATGGACGTTGAATTTATTTCGCATCGTACGCAGCCAATCGCGTTAACTGGAGGTGCGGGGGGAAGGACAACAAACTAACACAAAAAGCAGTTCTGAAAAAAATTAGTTTTCAATCTAGATTTAAAAGTGCATAGCTCGGTGGATTCCTAATATCGGAAGGAAGAGCATTGCAGATGGCCGCTGAGGCACATGTGAAAGCGCGCGATGCAGTGACCATGTTTGTTCGATGGCCAGCCAAAAGCCGCTGCTGTGAGGATGACCGGAGTTCACGTGATGGTTCATGCTCTTCGGAAATGTAGTGAGATAACATTTGCATTTAATTTGCATAAACAAAACATCATCATTTGCTCTCAATGCTTGCATCGTGAGCGTAAGATCCGTGAATTGATGATTCGTGACATGCGTTGGATGTCATGGCCCCCTTTGCTTGTAAACGCCTCTCACGTGCCAAGCCGTGTAACGATCTCACAGGTGTCGAACCTCAAAGTTCTCAAATCCAAAAATGTCGAGGATGCCGATGGACTTGAAGTTGTCATTGCCCTTAATGCGACCGTTGATCTTCTGGATGATCCAGGAGAAGCACTGTGAGTAAAGTGCCATGGCCATGGAGTTTCTCGAATCCTCGGCCTGCAATTCCAACAGGAATGTATGGGGAGAGGCATAAGCATACAGGGACATACTGCACAACACACACAGATGCACGATGGCGTAAGCAATGCTACCTAACCTCCTGGTGCTGGTTTGGCCAGGACAGTCCAGAAACACTGTCGCAGTCTACCGAAGCATTTACAAGAAATCACGATTTTGTCCAAGTTTAACCTTTTCTGGCTTCATGCTCGACTCACGATTTCGGGCAAAGGGGACCTATGAGCACTGAGTGGCGTCAATGGGCGAGGCTACGGATCGAGTGAGTGTGGCTATGTGAACCTGGGAGGGGCTGACAGAGGGAGTCGCTGGCGGCACACTATGTGTCCCGGTTGAGCCTCCCAGAAACACGGTAGCATCGTAGATATGATCAAGCGTGAGAAGGCCGCTGCTTGGCATTTGCTGGCTGAGCTGTTTATTTTTCATACTCCACGGATATTATGGACTGTGTTTGTAGTTTTTCTATTCATGAAAATGCTCTCTCTTGCTGTATCTTGAAATCTGCTCACTCGGCAAGGCCACATTAACCTCTTATGAAAGCCACACCCAAAGAAATCCTGAAATAGCATCCATGCAGCACATATGCCAAGATTAGAGCAGCTGGCCTTTCTTGTTAACACTTTAAGCTGAACAATTATTTATTCCGCATTAGAAAAGCTTATGGAAACAAAACGAATTCCAATAAAAAAATCAGCATTTTAGTGGCCTGCAGATATTGTAATTTCCAGGTCACGGAGAATTGCAGCACAGCTGGAAACACAGCCGATGTCGTGTGCAACTCAAATGCGACTGGTTATGTTGTGTTTGAATGAGCTCCCCCAGTGGTGGTGCTAGCCCATTGGGGACCCTAAGTAAAAACATATTTTTTGCGGGGGAACGGGACCCTGCTTTGAATTCACAAAATCCTCGTGAGACGGCAAAAGAGAAAGACAAGAGATAGGGATTTAGTGACATAAGAGAAATTTAGTTGAACATAGAGATGTAGTGAGATAAGAGAAATTTAGCTGAACATAGAGATGTAGTGAGATAAGAGAAATTTAGTTGAACATAGAGATGTAGTGAGATAAGAGAAATTTAGCTGAACATAGAGATGTAGTGAGATAAGAGAAATTTAGTTGAACATAGAGATGTAGTGAGATAAGAGAAATTTAGCTGAACATAGAGATGTAGTGAGATAAGAGAAATTTAGCTGAATATAGAGATGTAGTGATATAAGAGAAATGTAGTTGAACATAGAGATGTAGGAAGATGAGAGATGCAGACAAGCTAGGAACGAGAGATGTTAATTTGTCATTTAGGTTAATTGGCTTGTTATGCTTTTTATAATTTAAATTTCAGCTGACATGTGATCCACCCGTATTGTTTTCACGAATCCCAGACCCTCTGCACCGCTTAGTGCCCGACGCTTTTGCTTGGTTTGCTAACACAGAGCGCCGCCGCTGAAGCTCCTCCCTGGAGCAGGCATCGGCACGAGCAGCTGCGCGAGCCGCCCTCACCTGCTCGATGGTAAGCGGGGTGCTGATCTCCTCGCCCCGCAGGATCATGGAGCGCTGCGTCAGCACCTCGGAGAGCTGCAGCGAGTCGAGGCCGAGCAGCTCGGACACCACGCTCACCACTACGACGCCAAGTGAGCAAAACGGAAAGGCACGGTTACATTGGCGGCAGCAGCAGAAATCGCATCAGCACCACCAGGAGTATCACCAGCATCACCAGCAGCAGTGACATCGTCAGCACAAGCAACAGTACCAGCAGCAGCAACAACAGCATTAGCACAAGCAGCAGCACCAGAATCACACGCAGCAGCAACATCAGCAGCACCAGCAGCTTTAGAAGCCAGAAGCACCAACAGTAATTCGCCAGTGTCCATCACTTACACTGCACGCACACTCACATACGTAAATACAAAGATAAATAAAAAACACACAAAGTTCCCCCTTGTAGTCAGCACTTGTTTAGGCTCAAATGGCATACAAAAAGGCAGTGTGGTGAGCACCATTACACGGCCACTTTCACCTCCCCAGGAGTCATGTTTACACCCTGCGCCAGCAAGTCACATTTAAGGCTGAGTCCACCGAGGGGAGGCTCAGGGTCAGTACAGATACCACTTGGAAGTGATGTTAGCCATAACCAAAGTCAAATCACAGGGTTTGTAGCACAGTGTGCTAACCGCAACACCACAGCGACACCCCACTATATAATATATCCCTACTTTATAGAATATACATATACGTATGTTAATGTAATCATATAACAGTAATTTTATCTGTATACCGACAACTTTAACCAAGAATACAAATTACGTTGCTATGCTTGTAGCACAGCCTGCTAACCACTGCTTGCATTTGTCTCTGACAAATACAAATAAAAAGATCTCCTGCATAGCCTTAACAGTCTAGTGGGGCAAGTGTTGTTCGCAAACACCTATGAAAGCTGGCATGTCAGACGACGGGGTGGGTGGCCCAGCAACACAACTGGTCACTTTTGTCTTCCTAGTGGCGAAATTTACACATCACATCGGGTACTCATTTGAGGCCGAGTCGAACTCAGAGAAGCCCAGAACCGGTTCAGATAATCGTCATTTGCCACTAAGTGACGGTCACATCACCACAGCGCTTGTGCCAGGCTATGTGCACTTTAAGGCCACGTGAAGTGTCGAACGCCCGCTGACAGGAGGTCATGGGACAGACCACCTGTGTCCCCTATTGTGCATATTACGCGCAATCACGATAACCCGGCTTGTATTACCGTCCTTGTTGGAAATCTGAGCACCTCCGGCCGTCACAAACTCGATGTTTCCGAGCTGCAGCACCCCGGAGAGCAGCTTGAGCACCTCCCGCACCTCCTCCTTGCCGAAGGCCATCACCTGCATGGCCGTCTGTCGGGAAACGTGCGGAGAGAAACCGGCGAATGTTGAGTGAACGTCAGCGCAGGTGGCGAGTCAAGCGCACCCCACGAGGCACGGTCCCACCAAGTTGCAGCAGCGCCACCGCCAACACCACACCGTGCTGGACATAAGCACACCCCACCCCCCCCCCCCCCCCCCTTGGGAGCAAGGCCAGCTGAGCTCATTTCCGAAGTAGTGTGCCTGTTATCAAAAGTTGTCCCTAACCTTCCTGCCAAAAGGAGTAGTGTGTGTGAGTGTCAGAATAAAAATATGTATTTATACTGGAGGAATCCAATGAGCTATGAAGCTCGTTTTCACAGATACTCAGTAGGGGCGGGTCAGAACGTTACTTGTTCTTAACATCAGAGCTGTGCTTATAAGAGGTGTGCTTATATCCAGCTGTCACTGTACTTAAAGTATAACCTCACACCTGGAATAAGGCTCACATGAATGTAGCATGCAGTGCCCATTGTCAATACACTGGTGGGAGGAGACGTTTCTCGAGCCGTTGCCATCTCTCATGGTCCAGTTCACTTGGCGCCTGCAAAGGAGCCGGTTTCATTGCTCCATCTGCATCTCTGAGGCGGACGTTCTCCGACCTCGGTAAATGGTTACTCGCCTCAAAGAAATGGGGCACGTTTCTTAGCATGCTCTCCGGCACCGACACATTAAATGGTTTGAGGCATCCACACGCTCACACAGTGCGATGGCCAGAGTCGAGAGATTCACTCACCATGACTTTCTCAAAAGACTTCACATCATCACACGCATCGTCAGAGATGCATCCCGATTGAGCCAGGTACTTATAGCTGTTAGGCTCCGATAGGCAGAGCGATTCTGGAATCGGGGCACAAATAAACACAGGATCATACAAACAAAAACCGTGCACCGAAACATGAACTCTTCCGTTTAAGCAAATTAAATCCACTGCAAGTTTACATTCAAATGCTCGTGACTGTTTTACGAGGCAATATTAGTGCCATTACTTATTCATATATGTGCCACAGTGAAATAACTAGAAGCCCCCACTCATCATCACCATCCCCACCTTTCTGCTCAGCCGTGGTTCCCGCGAGCAGCGCATAGAAAACATGAAAATTCCTCTCCCCAGGGTTTTGCCGCACCACTCGGTTCTGTAACAACAAGCGGCACAACAACCACAACAATCGCCGTTCGTCACTAAGAGACGGTGACATCACCACGGCGCTTGTGCCAGGCTAAGTGTATTCTGAGGCCAAGTGAAGTGATGAAGACTCGCTGGCAGGAGGTCACGGAAAAGACCCAGGTGCCATGGCTTGACTGCCTGAGATGACAATGCATAATTGTATGTTGGACTTCTTTCGCACCGTACGACGCCAACCGTGCTAATTGGAGGTGCGGACAAGCTGCACAGCCACACACATGTCCTTCGTACATTAACAAAGACAAAGATCCCCTGTATAGCCTTTACATACTTTTGAGGCAAGTGCTGTTCGTGAGCAACTATGAAGGCTGGCACAGCACACAAGTAGGTGGCCAGCACCACACCCAACGGCCTTTGTATCCCCATTGGTGATGTTTACATGTCACACCAGGTACTTATTTGAGGCTGAGTCGACATTGGGGTGGCCCAGGACCAATTTAAATAATCGTCACTGGTGTCGGCTGTGAGCGAAAATCAAACTCAGGTCGCCGAGTTCGTAGCGCAGTGCTAACTGCTACACTACCGCTCCTGCCAATAACATGTACACGTTAATGCACATACAATTCAGGTGTGCCAATGCATATTATACTGCACTGTATATTCTTAAAAAAGAATATACCAGCAAGAGTCACACAGAGCACTCACACTACAACATCTGGCCAGGTTGGCTTTGCGGTAATGTGTGCGGATTGTGAATAAAAAGTAAAAAAAAACCAATGATGAAAAAAGCTCACGAGCTGATTTGGGAATGCACAACCCATTGCCACAGTGATCACTATATGGGGCAGTATGAAACTGGGGCTGTCTAGCATCCAACGTTTTAGTGCAGCATGGAGACAGCTAACAAGCAAAGCAACATTGCTTTGCACATTGTTCTATTTTTGAGCGATTGTAATTTTCCCGTTTTTTGTCAACTTTCGAAGGTCCCTAATAAACCGCTTTTAAATACGCGACACGGTATATATCAACCCACGTTATTTCGAGAACAAACTTTGTGTCCGTATGTTGTTGTGGGTGTGCTTGTGTGGGGAGCCATGGCGCAGTGGTTGTTGAACTGTGCTACGAACCCAACGATCCGAGTTCTATTCTCGCTCATGGCCAAGATTGGTGACAATTACCGGAACCGTTGCTGGGCCTCCCCAAGTTCGACTAAGCCATCTTTGAGTAACTGCTGCGGTGTGTAAATATCAGCACTGGGGAGACAAAGGTGGCCGGGTGTAGTGCTGGCCACCCATCTCCTTCGTGTGCTGTGCCAGCCTTAATAGGTGTTCGCTAATAGCACTTGCCCCAAGAGTCTGTTAAGGCTGTATGGGGGAAGTTTGTCTTTGTATAAATTCATGTAAAAGAAAATTCCTTTGTTTGCAAGACACACAGCATACTAACCTCACATGACGAGTCTCAAACCTTTCAGTCAATCAATATTTGGTTAAGATTGAAGATCACTCTGGCATTTATTGTCGGCATTGGCATTCAAGTCTCATTCTGAAGGCACTTGATCTTACCTTCTCCAGCAAGTCTGATATATGGTCGATGTTAAAGATAGGTCAGAGGTCAGCAGAGGCACACAAATGATTTATGATATATGGTTACGTTATGTCCAGGCTTGAAATTTCTCCAATTTTTTTGTGGTCAAAATGAGCAAGGGCCAAATTGCCTTTAAAGCTATAATGGAGGACATAAGGAAGCTCAAGGTCTAATACAGCGATTTCAAAATAATGACCATATTTTACTCCCCCACCAATGGTTACTAATGAATACAACTCCTCACAAATTCTTCAAATCCACTCTTGCATTATACTCCACTGAACCACGTTATGAAAACATTTCACGCATCCACTGGTGGATGAAGGACAGCCTAAGATGAGTTTAGAGATCAGCTGCCATGAATGTCAGCAGCTTCTGTGAAGTAATCTCAGGCCGCTGGGCTCGCTTGCAGCGCAGTGCGCAAACCACTGGGCCATTCTATTTTTTCACCAATGTAATTGTATCCCTGAAAGCAGGGGGCTTGTGACGGAGACTGGGTCATCATCTCGTTGCCCGGCCTCTGCACGCATAAAGGATACAGTCGAGGATGCGGCCGCCCTGGATGAAGCCCTGCTGCGAGAAGTGTAGCTGGATGAACTTGCCGAAGCGGCTCGAGTTGTTGTTGTACACGGTCTTCGCGTTGCCAAACGCCTCCATTATGGGACTGAGAGAGACAGGCAAACCAACAACAACAACAAAAATATGAGTGTATTGCATTTGAAGAGGAGAGGTTGCAAACTCACCTTGTTCAAAGCTAAACACAAACACACAATGTTACCCGGTGTTGGTCAAATATCTAAATTGTTGACAGGAAAGTCTCAATTTGGATTACACACAGCAACATTAACCCTCTTCTGTGAAGCTTTGGCGGGACCCTGCAAAAAGAGTCTTGAGAATCGGGCAGGCTTTCCTGGGTAAACAAATGTAACTGTAAAAAAACAGTAATATATCTCAAGCACACACTTATGTGTGTAGTTTTGTGTGTTAGTTTACTGACGCGTTCTCTGAGCCATGTACCTGTGCGAGGTGTGATCCACTAACAAATGATGATGATGAATAATAATTACGTCATAATAATAAAACTGTACTCCAACTATAATAAAGTAACTTATTTGAACATAACCCTGAGAATTAACGATGTTTTAAGGAGGGCTTCATCCAGTAGTGATTCAAACATGGCTGTGGTGATTATAATTCATCGACGAATGCGTCGCTGAGTCTCAAGGCTCTTTTTAGGAGGGTCCTACTGTTGAATGTTTTTTTTGTAATACACATACAAATGGGACAACATCCAAAGGATCTGTGCATACTAGCCTTTTACCCGTCCAAGGACGGGTGTATTGCAGTAAATATGAAACTTGCAAGCGAAAAGCACAGACCGCGACGTGATATTCATTGCATCAATTCGTGTGCAATTTGTAGGGGCGCGGTGACAGACTTATTTCATTTTAAGGTTATAATCCCTTGTTCATCATGACGTCCTTTTTACTTCTATGTCTCAACAGCGTCACGGAGATCGCGTGACGTGAGGGTTCTGTCTTAGTAGTGAGGGTTGTGAGTTTACGCTGAGGAGGGGGGAGGAGGCTCCTCGACCCCCCATGTGGAGTGATGTCACCCTTTAATTCTTATTAATGGAGGGGGGTGTACATTTGGAGGACCTATACCGGTTCATGATTATTAATGAGGGGGTCTGGTCGACGAGGAGTGACGTCACGCACGGGACACAAGACATTATTGGGTAAATATATTAGTAAATTCGTAAAAAAATCTACCCGCTGTGCTACCATCTCCTGGCCACCTCACAGTCCAGCAGATTTTGGAGTTTCACAAATCTATGCATAATCCACCAACCCTGTCCTCCAAAGCGCTGGATCACAGGCACGTGGCATCACACTCAGCAACAACAACTGCGGTCTCACCACCACCACCATGGCCCACCTTTGCGGCCTGCAAACCTTGTTGTTTATTTCATATCTCAATGTCCTGTTCAGGCCAAATTAAATAATGATGGAGAATAATTGGGCTGTTTATTACATCTTTCCCAAGGCCAAGATACATTATGTTGTAAAATTATTGAATAGTATATCGTTAATGGGTTTGTGATATTTTAATGCAATTCTGAAGGCAATGGGCGAATCAATCCTTAGTTTGAATTACAAAGAGCCCTTGTAGTACAGTATTGGATATCCTCGGCTTCACGTGCATGACCATCCCTCGTGCACATGGAATGAGATTGCATCTGCGTTGCATTCATCTTCCCTCACCATCGCTGTCAAATATTACTCCGATTGAACCACTAGGAAACTTGAATGCCAATATTTTATAAATTCACAATGCAGATAACTACAGTGATTACTGGAAGAATATTGCATTACTATCCCCCCTCAAATGCTTTTTTAAAAAAATAAACTGGATTAATTTATTTAGACAATTTCAATTTAGATGCTTTTGGCAATCCATTTAGCTTATCTAATATCTCTCTTCATAGTACATGTCATTGAAATCATATCCCCAATTGTTACATTCGTACCAACTCACATTTATTGCTTTAATTTAGCATTTACACGTGTTTGTGCTTCTACTTTTCGATGCACCTGCTTTTGTATGCTTTTAAAACCCAAGTCTCGCTTGAAATAGAGACCTGCAATCTCTCTAGGCTCTCACCTGGTTAGACATCCTACCTGTCTCGAGGTTGCTGTTGTAGATGAAATAATGGCCAAAGACTCGTGTCATATCGGTTATGTAATCATGTTACCTCTTAAATTGATTCAGCGATGCATCATTCCATCCCTAGAATGTACCGATGCATTCTACATAAATGAGTGCCGCTGACAGAAGCTGCCCTCACAACCGCAAAGGGGATACCCCGTCCGACGTCATTAAATGTTTCAAATCTGCAAGGAGTGACGACCATAGGTGGCAGGTTAAATTATTATTTGAAGGGGAGGGGAGGGGGGGGAATGCTAAAATACAATTTTGGAGTGCTGAAATGGATGTTTAATAAATATTTTAAAATAACAAATGAATATAAAAAAAGTATCATGTTTTCAGACAAAACTAGTGTTCAAAAACGGGAGAGCGCACGGTTGCCATTAGTAGAGCCCCGTAGCTCTACTAACGGCAAGGGAGAGAGCGCACGCGTTCACCGATTGCATTGGTTAACCACGTGCTGTGCCGGTGGTGACCCTGCGCACTCTCTCTCTCACCGAGTCGGGCTTCCAGAGATTGAACCATATGGGGTTGTGGTTAGAACAATGCAAGCTGGCAGATAGGCTTGAGGAGCCTGGCCCTGTTAGCCCTTGGCCACAGCCGCCGCCGCCGCCCGTGGTCGACACGGCTTACCTGCTTTCGAGAATGGCCGTCTCCACGTTGGTGTTCGTGGGGCCAGACTGCGCCGCCTTCCCCGCTCCCTGGCTCGTCTCCGACAGGAAGTTGAGGATGAGCTTTGTGCTCTCCGTCTTCCCGGCACCACTCTCCCCACTGGAAGCAAAACGAGTTGGACGGTCATCAGCGAGATTGCTCTGGCTGCTAGCCATGCACGGGGCTAACAAAACTTAGGAGGAGACACCCCCCCCCCCCCCCCCATATGGGGGTGGTGGTGAGTTCACTGGCACGTGGGCGGGAGGCGCATAAACCCGCTACTAAATCGATGCGACTTTCCCTCTACCTAATTCAGCCCCAATAGGGGCAATGAGATTACACCTTCGATTAATTCCCCCAATTTCTCAAAGCTAAAGATCTGCACATGGAGATTACTGGTAATTGTGACAATGACTGATATACCACCTGTACGCAAAGCTACCATTTCCCAAAGCTTTTCATTCATCGTTTGCACGTTATGTCCCCATTTGGTATGTTATAAAACATCTGGTGAACCATCAAATATTTTCCAAGGTAAGTAACATTTTTATACAAATTTCGTGTCCAATAGGATACTTCATGATGATATGTCTCCTAAAGGTGGCAATGGCACTAATGATGGTGTCAGCGCTATAGTACCATCTGTTGACATGCACCAATCACAACTCGAGCTCATTAAACTTTAACATCGCCGCACTCCTCCGGGTGCCAACTGGCCGTTGCTGCGCATCCTTTCCCTGTGCTGCCGTTAATCTCCTTAAATATTTCATGTATAAGCCCAACGTAACACAAGTGGCCCCAGAGAATTGGCTAAATCTGCTCGTAATGGATGGCAGTTTTCCTGTCTCACGCACGCACACGTGCAAGTGCATAGCCGTATCCACTCAAGCACACACATACATATACATTCTCTGGCGTTATCAGTTGTCAGAGTGGCTATTATTTCCATTAGTGGCTCTACTTTCAGATGCGCATAGACTTCACGTGTCAGAGGGTATGGGTCAGCCTCATATTAATATGTCAAACATGGACCCTAACAGCATTGCAAACAGGGGAAATGCCAATACTAGTTTTTTTGCTGTCTAATGTGATCACAAAATTACCATCAGCAAAGCAATTTTTTTTAGCCAAGTGCACAATTTGCTCAACATATTATGCTCATTGTTTTAAGCAATTATGGGATTTTTTTACTTCATTCAAACGTCAAAAAATAATGACCTGTGTTTTCGGCAAAAGTGAACTATGGATTATTTTTATGTGCTATGAAGAAGGTCCATTGCCTACAACGTCATCTACTATATTTTTAAGGCCACGATGTTTTTCATGAAGGAGTTTACATTGCCTTTGTGTGGGTTATTAATTAACAAAACTGTTACGTAACCTAACAAGTTTAATATACATATAACAGCCCTGGCATAAAGAGAGTGCTTTCTCTGAATTTATTAAACACAAACTTAAGTAAATTATCACGTGGTTATTTCAAAATCAACAGCATAACTGCCATACTAATCATACATCAAAACAAAGATTCCTTATATAGTCTATTAAGACTGTTGAGTCAAGGGCTGTCAGTGAGCACGTATTAAGGCCAGGATTGCACCAAAGGGCGGTCGTGTTAGTAGCATGCCTATCCACCTTTGTTTCCACAGTCCTGATATTTACACACCGAACCAGGTACTGAGTTAAGTTGACCTTGGGGAGGTCCAAGACAAGTTCTGACAGCACTCACTCATGATGTTAGCCACGGCCAGGAATTGAACTCAGGTTCCTCGGTTTGTAGCTCAGCGTGCTAACCATTAGGCTACCACTCCCTTCATCACACACTTCCACATATATACATTTCCAGAACCCTGTAATCTAAGTAATCACCAAGCTTAAGTCTAGATTAAAAATGTATGCGTACTGTGAACTGCAAACGACGTGAAATATTATTTGTAGAGAAGACAAATATAAGTGTATATTGATTAGGGCCATTAAATACCACAGTCAAATGCATTTGCACAACTTAGACCGATGCAATGCATGCACATTACACAGACATGCATAACGGAAAGTGGGAGAGTGCATACATAAGGACAATTCAAAATAGCAAGGTTGGAATGATTCACAAATTCCCATGATTCAGCGATGAGCCCATTAAGTTATCTCCAAGGACCGTCTGTTTAACACAAAATGTTACGGCAGTGGCAGGCAATATGCGCCTTTTATGGCCTGCAGTGTGGAGAGAGCAGGTGGGAGGGGTAACTGGAGGTAGCAGGTGAGCAGGTGGACGGAGCAGGGAGGAGGTGGAGTTAGCAGGTAGAGTCAGGGCTGGAAATGAGAAGAAATTAGTGGGGGATCGCGTAAATTATTCACCTCCCCACCCCCAGAAGGAGCAGCTTTGCTCCATGTGGGTCTCTGTGCGTCTGTGGGTAGCGGTAGTGTAGCGGTTAGCGCGCTGCACTACGAACCCGGTGACACGAGTTCGATTCCCACTCACGGCCAACACCAGTGACAATTATCTGAAACGGTCCTGGGCCTCCTCCCCTAGGTCGACTCAGCCTCAAATGAGTGCCTGGTGCAGTGTGTAAACATCACCACTAGCGAGACAAAGGCGATCGGGCATGGTGCTGGCCACCCACCTCCTCGTGTACCGTGCCGGCCTTCATAGGTGCTCGCTAACAGCACTTGCCCCAGCAGTCTGTTAAGGTTATACGGGGGATCTTTGTCTTTGTGTCTGGGGGGGAGGGTTCCAGTCCATTTCCACCACTGGGTAAAGTTAATCAGGTGGATTTATCAGGTAGAAGAGAGCAGGTGTAGGGAGACAGGTGGGGGAGCAGTTGGAGGTAGCACATCAGTTCAGCAGGTGGAGGGGATGCGCCGGAGGGCAGCGTGCACAATCCCCCGCCCATTTCTGCTGCCCACCTTATGAGCACGCACTGGCTGTCCAGCCGCTTCCACAGGCAGCGGTAGCACTCGTTGGCTATGGCATAGATGTGGGGTGGCAGTTCGCCCAGGAGGTTCTGGGCGTAGCGGCCCACGGCCGCCTTGTCGTAGAGGCCGTCGATCAGCCTGTACGGGTTCACCGCCGCCAGGATGGAACCAATGTACGTCTGCAGCACCGAAGAGGAGGGGCAGATGTTGGAGGCCGGAAAACAACAGTGTGCACAGAGTTGGCTTTTTTCTCTCTCTCTCTCCGTGGGAACCGCCTGAGTAATGAGATTAATCAGAAGGCTTAAAAAAAAGAGAGACTGATGTTCCTTCCTCATTTCGTGGGCAGCAGCGATGCTTCTCTTTCGTAATAGCGTTTGGTCATTCTTCTGTATATCGGCTATAAATCTCTGCAGTGAACTAGTGCGTACAGTTGTTTATGAGGAGTTACAAGCATCGAATTTGAAGCGCTTCTTAAATGTGCATTGCAATGAAGTGTGCATCAAGTTTAATTACCGCGTGTCTCCGATAAGTTAAGATTAATTAACGTTCACTGCAAGCCATGTTAAAACAAGCCATGCAGTCATATCAAGGCAAACACAGGGGTGAATAACCTCTCACTCTATCAGCCAAATTAATTATTTGCTGGCTGTATTCATAATTAGTGATAATCAACTGCAGTAAAATAACCAAAACTGGGTCACTTTAAGCCTTGGAGCATGTACGACAAAGCAACTCCAAATATCAGTCCACTGTGCTCATGTAAACCCAGATGCTTCATTCCCTCTCTCGGCCTGTGCCTCTAAAGAAGCCCCACAGGAAATCTCAGAGCAGTTATGTCCACGAGGGGATGGATGACTATTGTGTGACTTGAGCTTTACTGGGCTTTCCAGGTATCTGGCTACTGCAGGGGGGGGGGGGAAAGAAAAAGAGATAAAACTACATACGTAGATTTTGTTGTCGTGGAAGCGCAGGTGCAGGTTGTGCATGATGGCGCCCTCGTGCAGGTCGGCCAGGGCGCTCATGTCCTCCACGCCCTCTATGCTGCTGCTGTGCATCGGTGACACCTTGTCGTGAGACAGCGCGGCCTGCGGGAGGCAGAACGCCTGTCGGGGGGCGGGGGGGGGAGAGGTCATGATGATTGTGGAAGGTCAGGGATTTACACGTTGCACAGGGAAGCGATGCTCTTAGATGTTGTTGCCGTTACCTTTTCTTACGTTGCTCATCCATGCGTGTGTGACAAAACATTTTAGTTCCTAGATTTGAAGCTTTCGCGACTGCAAGGATCCATACTCTTTGGTTCTATTCGGTAAAGTCACGTAGGTAAAAAATAAAATAACAAAAATCACGACGTTTCGGCCACAACACAAGTGGCCTTCATCAGGTGAAGGGACCGTGCTGTCATGAGGACGCTGTCCTCACTTTACCGAATAGAACCAAAGAGTATAAAACATTTTAGCTTCCCACTAATTGCCAAAACAAAAACAACAACAGATAAATCAACAAAACTACCCACAATATTAAAGATATACTATATAATTGGTTTATTATGAATTCAAAGCAGAGATATCTGCTCTTAAGCAGAGATATTTGCTGTGAATTCACCGCCACTGCCCGGAGCGTCGACAATTGTCCATCCTTTTCCTCTCCAGGGCAGTGCTTTTGACGACTTGTGCCGAGTTCACACACGCTTGGCTCACACGGCGGACCTGCCGCTGTTCCCTCGCAACAGGGACAGACCGTCTCTCGTGCTCTGCCGTCACGTTAAAATATGCATTAAAGAGATGGTTCCAGTAAGCGTACTTTATTTGTGTAAATAAAATAACGTTGTGATATTAAAGCCACGGCTGAACAAAAAAAAGCAGCATTAAGATATGCAAGTGTCCCGCCAATTATATGATGGTATCATTCAGATATTGTTTTTGTACTGTACATAGTCAAAAGCCAGATAATTATTTAAACAACAAAAAAACCCACAGATATTTATCCATTTATTAAATACACAGGCGAGCGATGGCATAGTCGTTAGCGCACTGCACCTGGTCACCTGAGTTCGATTCCTGGCCACCGATAACATGAGCAACGACAGTGACATCTGAAGCAGTCATTTGTCTGCCCCATACGCCAACCAGCACTGGCCAATGTCAAGTTCGGGCAAATCAACTCCACAGCCGACACAATTTATGAAGCAATTAATCCACCAGGAGATTAACAAAAGGACTGTAGAATTTAAACATAGTTACATTAAAGACCACTAATAATAATTTTGCAGAAGGGTATTGTTTAACGTGTAGCTTCTATATAAAAGCAAATATGAGAGAGCTTTAATTTTGAAGTCTGCGAATGTCAGCATCAGTGCTATGGCATCTGAAGATATGAGAAGCAAGCGGCGTGAGGAGGAGGAGGAGGAAAACTGCACCGCCAGCAGAGGACAAGGTTGGCTGCTTCGCTTGCTTCGTGGTTCTTAAGCCAGCCCAGCACCCGCAGCACCTCCCTACTGGCTCCCCCGACTCCTTGGGGACTACAATCCGATCCATTAGATGGGGGATATCTCATCGCTCGTCCAAAGGTTGGGGAGGAAAGGTGAGGGATACGCAGGGCTCAATATCACTCATCTCGCAGGGGGGGAGGGGGGGGGCTCTCTCAGCAAATGTAACGGCAAGCAAAAGATAAGGCAATAAAACCAGCGCTTTGAACGTGCAACGAGCGCTCTCTCCAAACAGCCAGCCGTGGAAATGTGCCCATCGGCCCGTTGCAAGGGCAGTATGAATACAACTCACTCTGATGTAAACATTGGGTAAGGATTTACCGCGTGGCGCTACGCAACAAGTCGTACGGCTTATTTAGTTATTTCAACGGTTGTTCGCAAATCTTCAGGTCGAGGCATGAAAGCCTTTTGCGATGGAGAGCTGGGATGACAATATACACCGCAGATTACAGCAAACATAATAAAATAAGACTTGCACGTGTTAAGCATCGCAATGTATCTCACGTTGCTGTATGACAAAGGAGACATGCCTGAACGTCGTTGGTTATTTCGGACAATTATCAGCAGCAAATGAAACAAGTGGTTGCTACGCAAATTTTGAAATTGACAATAAATCATGCAGCAAAGAGCGTGGTCAGAACCGTTTAAAATATTGAATTTTGGAATAACCGATGGTAGGCGGCGCATCATTAGCGAAGGACGGGGTATTGATGCATTCATGATACATCCCATTAGGTACAGTGCATGACAGTGCCTTATTGAGCAGTGTGGCTCAGGAGACGGCTGTGGGAGGCACTCAAGGTAATCGGCCAACACCCCGCGCTGCTCTCGGTGCACAGCTGCGCTGCAGACGCTCCCAATATCCACAGCTCCCATTAAAAATTAACAGAAGAACGACACAACTAGAGGCCGCCGATTGGTGGGAAAGCGACGTGAACAAACTGCGTCACCTGTGGACAAAGCAGCTCATCTCTGCGATTGCGACTTAAACGCATCGACTGACAAGCCCTTTATTTCAATATTCCTTTATCCTTCCCGCAGTGGCCAAAACCACATATCGGGCTACAACGCAACAAGAATGGTCATCGTTGCATTGCATGGCCCCACGGGAAAAGTGCCTTACGCCCCACAGTATTCCTGAGAGCCGCACGGCGTAGAGAATGGATTGACAAAAGAACTGCATATGTAGACGTACGTATGTTGGGGGTGCAGGCCCACACCTCTCTCCCCGGGTTAATTTGACTATCGCGTGTCAGAGCCACGCTGCCATTTCAGAGGAGCTGCTGCAGGGCAGTGAACGAGTGGGCCACTGTGTATCCCGGAACTACCCTGGCGCAGGTCCACACCATCGCCAATGTGCTATTCACATGAGTCAGCCATGTGCTCTTCATGAGTCAGCCGTGCACAGGCTGCATTGGCTGCATTGGCAAGAGGTGCGATTGGATTGGCGAGTACGGGATTGATATTCCGTTGTCAATTCACTGCTGGATGTCTCTCCAGGTTGTGTTGGTCATGGGGGTGGTTTGCCCAATCTTCATCATGCTGGTTAGTACAGGCTGGTGAAAGAGGGAAGCCTAAGATTGGGTCTGGTATCACTTGCCACTGATGTTAGCCATAGCTAAGGATCTAACTGAGGTCTCAGAGTAAAAAGTGCAGTGTGCGAACCACTGCACCACCACTCCACCATGACCACTTAACCTGGGTTAAAATTATGCAGATAATTATTTTTTACACATGGTAGTTATATTTGGCTTTGAAAAATATGTTTAATGTATGTGTGCCTGTTTTCTAAACTTGAAATCCCTTTACAAAAAAAATAAAAAATAAATTCATTAAAACAAAAAAAATGACGAGTGACATTGTTGACATCAAGAGAAATTGATGCAAAATCACGGATGAGCCAGGGAGCGATGGCTCTTGTTGGGGCAAAATTTTATTTTGTACGAAACTCTTGAGAAACACAAAGCCACATGGCTCTCAAGCACACGTGACTCGCATGCACACGATGTGACACCCGCACTTCCCAAAGACCAACGCAAATATCCCTCGTATAGCCTGATCAGACTGTTGGGGCAAGCGCTGTTATAGAACACCTATGACGGCCCGCACAGCAGACGAAGGGGTGGGTGGCCACCACCACACCCTGCTGTCTTTCTCTCCCGAGTGCTGTTCCTTTATACATCGCACCAAGTACTCATTTGAGGATGCGTCGATCTAGGGGAGGCCCAGGACCGGTTCAGATAATCGCCACTGGTGTTGTTGGCCATAGGAGGGGAATCGAACTCGGGTCGTTGAGTTTCTAGCGCTGCACGCTAGCCGCTCCCCCATTTCCCACATGCACACACACACAGGTCGCACCCACTCAAGAGCATTCACTGCGCCTGCTTGAAGGCTTCCGAATGTTTAAAGAGAGACTATAGCTGCCCCTAAAGCCCCTGGCAAGTAAAGTATTTTTGTGTAATTCCATTCCATAATTGAAACCAGAAAGCAAGACTATATATTGATTAGAGTATTGTAAAGAAGAACCAATTGTGTAAAGAGTTTAAAGCTATCCTCCGGGAGTGAGGATTCACGTTCCTTAATCAATTTAGTGATGGTAATTTTAAGTAGTGTATTGCATGAATCTCACTGCAGCATTTAGCAATGTTGGTACAGTGTATTCCTATTTCAATATTTTCACTCCCATTAAGCGTCATTATAAATTCTCGGCATTATTGATTCATTGCTTCCTCAATTATGTATGATGTATACAACTTCTATAAGGCGAATAGAATGGTCACGCAACATTTCCTTTTACGCACATGGACAGGCAGGCAAATAGACGTAACTAATGATTCCTTCCATAGATGCTGCATTAACTGTTTTTGGTTATTTTTCACTCAAGTGCCATTGCATTAAATGACAGTACCGAATATTTCAATAATGTTTAATTTGGAGACCTCAAAACCATATACACATTGAGATTAGAATAGGGCTACAAAAGAGGCTACACGTGCAGCAAACACAACGGTCTGGTTATCTTCAAAAAGACAACAGGAATGTTTGGCAGATGTGAACAGCCAAGCCCTTGCATGTGTTGAAATGTGTGGCTCAGGGTTTTGTAAACGATGACTCAGACTAGAGACGGTGCTTTCATATTATCATATCTTCGTCTTCATTATCACCATCCATAAGCAATCCACTGCTGGATGAAGGCCTCCCCAAGTGACTGCCATCAAACTTGGCTTTGCGATTTAACAATCCATCTAGCACCTCAGCTCGTGCATTATGATAAATGTATTTGTTATGATATAGGTTACATTTAAAATAAAAATAACTATAACTATCAGCCCTTCATCAATCCGTTGCAAGATGAAGGCTTCCCAACACTGTGTTGATCACGGAAATTAGTTTTGACCATACTTCGCCATGTCAGTGCAGGTTTGTTAAGGGAGTGCTCAGAACCGGTTCGGACATCGCCCGTCACTCAAGGCAGCTTTTGCCAAGAATCAAACTCAGTTCACGGGGGTTCCCATTGCGGTACGCTAACTACCATGCCACATCGCTCCACCCCAGCATACATATACGTTTTCGAATAATGAGAGGGCTTCATAATTCTGGACAACGCGTGGCATTGAGATGCCCTCATGTGACTGGTCAAATGTTGCAAACAACAAAAAATAATCACAATTGTTTATTGTCCAGGAATTCCAGAGCGAGGGCCCCGAGTTGGTTTCCCATGGATGCAGAATATTGCAACTGTACATGGAACGGACGAGGAAGCTTCACCCCAGCGTATCAGCCACGGTGCACTCCTGTGACCACGTGACCTGCCATGGAATTTCCGGCCACAAGCCCAGGTGGGATTGAGATCCACCATCAGCAAATCACATTTCTGTGCCGTGGTCGCAAGAGCCATATGGAATGAAAGGCAGCAGGGTTGAATGTAGAGTTCTGCAGCGGATTTCGTTCATGACCTAGGCGAATTACTAAATGATGTATGGATCAAGGATGGCCTGTGATCCCCGTTGCACGTTAAATAAAACAAGCATTTTGCTTTTTTGAATACGGTTACTCGATCAAGTCTTCCCTTACAAGAACATCCTTTATTGTTGAGGTTTCCACATGAGGCTTCTACTGGCTTTATAAACTTGAAAGCATTTATGCTCTGCATTATCCCTTGTCTACGTTGCATAAAAGGCAACATGCTACAATTGGCTGCGTGTAATTAAGCGTTTGTTTAATATCTTGAAATGTAATGTTGCAGATTATTTTGAATTAATCTCAAAATATAAAACTTCAAAAGTATTTAAAATAAACAGTTATGCAGTTATACTCTATCTTAACAATCATCTTCATATGCTCAGAATGTATTTTTCAGAACAAATATGTTCACTACCAGGAAACTGGCATCGTTTAAATCACTACACATCTGCGGCCACAGCCACCATGATACATTCCTTCTAACATTATATAAATATATCACATACTTCGTGGTTTAACCATGCATTAAATGTTAAACAAAACCCACGTTTAGAACTTTGCCGAGGCAGACTCAGATAGCACCAACTTGACTCACAATTGAGGGCACTCTTACCAAAGCACAAGCGCTGCAAAGCATTTTCAAGTACGGACAATGAGGAACGGCAATCAAACGGTAATCCACATTAGCTCAAATGACAAAAAAGTCGTTTCCGCTTGTGACTTGTGGCTTCTGGCATGGATCATCGTCCTCAAAATCAGGAGCAGGTGTCCCGCGGACCCAGACAGCATGTGTGGTTTAATCGCTCGAGTGAGACGCTGCCCGTCATTTCATCTCCCTCTACAGACACAAGATAGCAGCGCTGAAAGGCAGTAAGTGGACGGCTGCCACGCTGATATATTTCACTGTGGGAGGCGTGTGAAATGTTTTGTACGCATTGTGCTACATGACATAAATAGGCCAAAAAGGGATCTAGTTCTTTTTGAAAAAGGGAAAATTACTAAAAGTTACAACCTGCAGCTGTACGTATTCTTGGTGGCACCAATTACTGCAAAGATAAAACCAATTTTTTTTAATCGGATCCAAAAACCCACGAGTTAACTTTTTGTAATCCTCGTGTGATATTCTTTCATACAATATCCAACGAACAGAGCGAGACAAAGCTACAAGCGTGTGACTGGGTTAGTGAAAATTGTACGCGACAGACAAACACGCATTCATCATATGCATCTGCAAATGCACGAGGTGCTGTGAACGACACCCACGTCCACAGAGCCTTAACGGGGCAAGGTGGCAGAGGCTCGGGCTCATCCACCTATTACTCTCATGCATTAAGAGGTGCAGAACAATGCAGACAATTACATGGTCACAGGAGTCAGTTATAAATCTGGCACCATGCAATGATGTTGTAGCACTAGGGCACTTGTTGCTAAATTATGCTGTTTAAGAGGCTTCGTAATTATCGATGGATGTGACAAATTGGGGAGGTCTTTATGAAGCAGTGGATTCATCATAGCTGCTGATGATAATTAAAATATACATACAGCAATGAATTCACAGCGGATACAGCTGAACGTTTTAGAGTTTTCAAATAATATTAATATGTGTAATTATACACGCAAATATGCTGAAGGCACATGATGGCATCTTTATTTTTAAAAACTAAACAAAACAGATCTGCCAACGGACTTCCAGATAATTTACTTCTGCTGATTAAAACACGGGATGAACAAATGTCCTTATATCTGGGATCATTGAACCAGTCGCACAAGTTAACCCCAAAGCAAAGTGTAGTTAAAAATTTTAAACACTTAAAAAAGCAGAGCATTCTTCTACTGCCTCCAGTTAATTAAACCTGACTTAGCAGATCAGCTTTGGTGCCTAAATAGTTGCCTTAAAATGGAGACCGGAGTAAATGCGTCCTCTGTTTTTCTGTGTGCAGGGCTACGTGCCTGACGTTACCATGTTGTATAAAAACAGACAATTCCAAGAGCATGAGCAGTTGACGTCATCATAATACAGTACGCTCATTTTAACACAATCATTGCCATCCATTGTCACCAGAAACTTGGTACCAGACACAAAAAGTGACAGACTCATGTACTTCCAATGAAAACAGTCTTTTTTTTTTTAAAAAAAATGTGTTTTATGAACAATGATTGGTTAACAGAGCACACACCCTCAGGCAGTCAGTCATGTGACCTCTCTATCTGCGATCTCAGTTGACTTGGTGCTGGTAAGGCATTGAGGCACCCACCTGCCCATAGTCGCTGGTGAGCTCGACGGTGCCAGCTCTTGAGGGGCCCACCGTGCATGGTAGCATCTGGTCCCCGTCCCGCAGCCACACACGGGCGCCCTGGCAAGGAGATGGCACATGGGGCAAGCATGGGGTGAGCACAGGGTGAGGATGGGGGTGAGAATGTGGGACACGGCACCAGCCATTGCAGAGCACTGCTCACTTTTGGGGTGACCACTCGGGCATGATGAGAATGGATGTAACATCTATCAGATAGTGTGCATACTCCTCGGCAGTATATTGCCTCTGTTTGAGTCTTTAAATAGCTTGTACAATGTTATGCCATTGTCCCAAACACCTTTTTTTCAGGAGTTGAGACTCGGAAGTCTAGTCAAACACTTTCATGCGTGATCTTTGCCCATAGTTTAATAAATTCAAAGGTGGCAACTCTAGTTGCTCACCTTCGTTAAACTCCAACCAGGCCTCACTAATGCTGCGTCCACAGAACCGCTCTTTGTGGTAGTTAAACGTTAATTCCATGAATGTTACATCAGCTATGGCACAAACAAGCAGACGGATTGTTATCTTGTTTAAACGCATGCGGGATTTTTACGTTGCCTGCAACTGCGCCGTACATTTTTTGTTTATCTCACGAGACGATAATACGTTGGGCTGTTTTTTTTATGAGCAACATAATGCATTGGTTTATGTAATGATGCTGGGTAACACACGTTTCGCAGCGGGAGAGGGCCTTGATGTTTAATCCATTCTAATGGGCTTTATTTCTTTGTAACCTTCTGTCAATGCATGAATGGAGGAAGGCCTTCCCATGCTGTGTCGGTTGTGGAGGTTATTTGACCATACTTCACCATGCTGGTCAATGTGGGTTGTTGGTAATAGGTTGGGATGGGGCAGTGGTGGTGGGGGGGGAGGGGATGGAGGTGTGGGGGTACCAGGACCAGTTCAGATATCACTCACCAATGATGTTCGTCATGGCCGGAAATCAAACTTAGGTCGCTGGGTTCGTGACACATTGCACTAAACCACTTCGGGTACCACTCGACAATGGTTTATAGTTAATTGGACGAAACATTTTTCACTGTTATGTTTTCATTAGCATTCCCGTATATAGCAGCTAGAGTGAATGTGTGAATGACATAATATGTGAATGTCTTCAGTGTTTTCAGCCAGAACTGTGTGGGTCGGCGACCCAGAAAATATTTCCCCACCCAGCACGCCACGTGTTGCCCTCTCCCAGCCTACGAGCAACCTAGGAAACGTGCCGTGCAAAATTAACCTCCAGGTGTAGTTGTTGAATGACGGTCGTCTGACAAAATAAAATCGAGTATACAACAAACATCACACATTACATGGTTATATTACGCTTACAATAATGCGGCATCTCATAAATTAATAACTGGTGGTGTGCATGATAACTGGACATAGCTCATCGGATTCCTCCAGTATAAATAAAGATTATGATTATATAAACATCGCACATTTATAACGGTAACAGGTGAAGTAAAAATGTAATCCAAATGTATTTTAGACCACCGAAAAAAAAACAAGAGCGGCCATATTATTCACGAGCCAGCACTTCTGGCAACGCTGTGTCTGAAAATATATGACGAGGCCAGCGGATGCCTCCCTCGACTGTAAGAGTCAACTCGTGCAGTGCAGAGCATTTCCCCTTCGCTGGGAGGCTGTCTCGAAGACTCGCCACCCAGAATTGTGTCACTCCAGCTAAATATCTCTGTCATGGCAGTGACATCACTGCTGCTGTGCATTTGTGTTGCAGGAACGCTTTCTATGCTGGGTGGCAGCTGCTGGTTTCGTTAAATGTCGTGGATAAAAAAAACACTGCACTGATGGAGCAGTCAATTACATATATATGTCGCAGTCTACTCTTCCCCTGCTGCCGGACGCCTTGGAATAGGTGGCGGTTACCCACACTTTACCCCACCACAAAAGACCTCCCAATCGATTAAATGCGGTATACTTATTTACACTGCTGGATGGACAGAAGCAGTGGTGGTGGTGGATTTAAAAAAATACCATTGTAATCAAACCGATGTGCAATCACACCCCATGGCAGCATCTCAGGATCAGTCAATATATTTCAGTAGAAAAGTGTTCTGGTGAGTAACCGAGGTAGGAAACATTAGAGTGTAAGAATCGACTGCAATGGAAAGAGGATATAAGGGAATAAGGCCACGTTGCTAATTATAGTAACTGTGAACAATTAAGAGTATTAAAATACGAATAAAAAAACCAATTGCACTTCCTGCCTTTGTAGAATAATAATCGTGCAAAATGAAGTTAAAATAAACTATCATTCACACAGGGCGATTACAGTCTGTTTATGACATTATCAAAATAAAACAAGGAGTAATATGACAGCTAATTGCTGCTAAATTACTGACGTGTGCAAAAATTCCGAATTCGGACAATTCGTTGAGTAAAAATAAACATAATAAACACTTAATGTGATGCTCACAGAGTGCTGAATGTAATTTTCTCAAAAATGTGGCAGATTGTTTTTGGGGACCTCAGGGTGTAACTGTACAGTAATAATACAGATACGCATTATAGCAAATTATTGTATTACTGCATAGGTTACTCTGTTGCACAGTACAGCTCTCCGATGTGTTTTTGAGTTGTACCACGTGTTAGTCGAGCAGAATGAATTTCCATCTTTAGGAACTTAATTTTCTTGAAAAAGCTCCCAGCACATGGAGTGAAATGTTGGACATCATACCACGTGGTTACAACTCGAAAACACATCACAGAGCTTAGTTATTTTAACGGTAAAACTTTTTTTCTCTCATTTATTGTATTAGATATGTTATTGTTATTACTGAATTGGATGTATATCTTAACCTCTTTGTCCAAATAAAGTAACAATAGTATTAATAATGCAATTGGAGTACAGTACTTTGAAAACATGGATTTAAACAAAAGAAGGTTTGTTGCCAAAACCACTTGAGGAAAGTTGGACGGATCCCTTGGCTGCCTGACATCACTTTCGGAGGCAATGATAATCATAGATGTTGATAAAAGGGAGAGTTTGGGATAAAGGTGGTTTGGTTGCTCAAATGCCCATGCCAGGTACACGTTTCTCCAAATTCTTAACAAACATGCTCCTTTGGTTAGATTTAAAACTAAAGGCAACCGCCCACCATGGTATGATCCTTTGATTACAAAGCTCATGAAAACTAGGGACAAGGCTTGGGCATGTGCTCAGAAAAGTAATTTGGTAAATGACTGGCTAGAATACAGGATTTTAAGGAATAGATGCGTAAAAAAAATACGGCATGCAAAAAATGCCTATTTTTCCTCCACTCTCCTGGAATCACATGGAAATGCCAGGATTTTTTGGAAAACAATCAAATCTATCGAAAAGGCATCCAAAACAGAAAATCTGCCCGTTGAGCTTCACCGAAATGGGGAATATTTTTCAGATCCCAAAAAAATAGTTGACAATTTTAACCTTCATTTTTCTAAAGCTGGTAATCTTTTTGATAATGTATTGGGAGTCACCCCTGCTCCTGCAAATTCCTACACCCCTGTCCAAACATTAAACGAATTTAGTTTACAACCAATCCACGAATGTAATGTTCTGAAACAACTGTCCTACCTCAAAGGGTCCTCCTCTACCGGAGCAGATAGTTTTCCCGTCTTTGCTCTACTAACTGTTGGTCACCTAATATACAAACCTATAGCCCATATTTTCAACCTGTCCATCAAAGAAGCATCAGTTCCTCTAGAATGGAAACATTCCTATGTCCGTCCACTTCACAAAGGGGGCCCTAAAGATGATCCCAATAACTACCGACCTATCTCAATTTTGTCCCCATTGATGAAAATTTTTGAAAAATTATTGAACTACCAAATTAGCAGTTTCCTGTCCACCAAGAATCTACTACATCTAAAACAATCTGGGTTCCGGAAAAAATACAGCACCACATCTGCTGCATTAGACTCTTTGAATCAAATTTACAATAGCCTTGATAATAAGCAGTACTGTGCCTGTCTTTTTCTTGACCTGTCCAAAGCTTTTGATACCACAACACCCTGCTTAGTAAAATAAGTTACCTCGGTTTTTCCGAGAACACAGTACAATGGTTAAAAAATTACCTCTTTTCTCGCACCCAAACTGTATTCACAGATGGTTGGAGGTCAAACAGTGTTAAGATAACAAAAGGGGTTCCACAGGGTTCCATCCTCTGCCCCCTCTTGTTCTCTCTTTATGTCAATGACTTGGGCACTGAACTGGATCATTCCAGGGTAAATATTTTTGCAGATGACACGATACTGATTACTGCTGGCCGCTCTCCGGATGACGTGATTGCTAAGCTCCAGGGTGATTTCAACAAACTACAACATCAGCTAGTTTCTCTTAAACTAGTCCTGAATACCTCCAAAACCAAGGTGCTATGCTTCTCTCCGGGACTAAAGCAGGAAGTTATTTTTCCCCAATTACATTCCTTGAATAATTATCAAATAGAGCAAGTCAAGATCTATAAGTATCTTGGGGTCATCCTGGATTCAAAACTTAGTTTTGAAGATCACGTTGATTATATTGGTAAAAAGACAAAAATAAAAATTGTTTTTCTGTATCGACACAAGCACTGCTTCCCCCCAATGTTCCGTTTGGAATTGATAAAAGCTACCATACTGCCTCTACTTGACTACTGTGACATCGTGTATAAATCAGCCCCAAGTACTGTACTGAAGAAGCTTGATTCCATCTAACACTCGGCCTTAAGATTTGCATTGAACTGCCCATATAGGACTCACCACTGTGATCTCTACATTGGGTCAAACTTAACATCTCTTAATGTTCGACGGCTTGTGCACCAGATCTTATTTATTCACGATGTACTTACAAAAAATTCCGCAGACTACCTACTGGATCTCCTCTCTGTTTCAAAGAACAAATTTGACCTCAGGTCTTCGCTCATTTACCAGCTTCACATTCCCTATTGCCGTACAAAAACTGGAGGAAGGGCCTTTGCTATTGATGCCCCCAGGGTCTGGAATGCTATTGCCAATAAACTGCAACTTGAATCACTACCTATGAGATCTTCACTCAAAACTGTTCTAGAGGAGTTGTACAA